AAGGGTAAGGCCAAAGCAAAGGCCGACTAGATATGTGTGATGCCGGCTTCTGGCATGTTTGCTTTTGGTGCACAGCTAGCTGTGATGGTGTAGTGTTTAGCAAGCTGGAACCTTGCATGAAGGCTTAGACCCTGGCCCAGATATATATTTCCTCATCCCAGAAAGTCAGCATTTACCCTTCCCAGAACCTTTGTGGGTCATGAATGTTCAGCATTCAAAGTATTCTTGAAGACTACATACTCCAAAATGCAAGCTTCAGGTGTTCCATAGTGCCCATTGGTTTCCAAAGTAACTGGGCTGGGATAGCCTTTCTTGCAGGGCTAGGGGTCGCTTGCGGTTGTACACTATGCCTGCACGTGCCAATAGCCAGCTGGCTGTTTACATGCGAAGTGATCCGGAGAAGAAACCGCCTGCGCTAGAATGCCCGATGACAGCGGCCCATTTCCTGCCTGTGTGTTGGTCATTTGCTCGCCACGCAGGTGAGTTCGCCGATCACCTCATCTCGAGCCTCGGACGTGGCGCTGCTGGTCAGCATTTGCCGAAATTATGGGATCTGTGTGCACGTAGCTTTGAGGTCTTAACCACGTGTTTCTAGCTTGAAACTGGCAGATCTCCTCGAACAAGGCGTGTTGCTTCGAGCCATCGATGGTGTTTTTGCTGGATATAGTTAAATGTATTCAGGGTTTGTTGCTAAGACGCATCTTGGAAAACCCTAACCCTGTGCCTGTCCCAAAGCTCAAACCCGTAATATAGTGTATAGTCTTAACAACGATCAGTCTGAACAAACTATAATATATACATAGGTTGTGTGTATATGGCACGTTGAGTGCAACTCAGGCATCATCATGCCGGGAGCTTCAGGAGGCTGCCCAGGCTGTCGTGGCTGAGCTTAGGCTGCATGAATATGTGGACACATCGCTAGATATCCATTTTTTATAATGGAAAGCTCAAGATCGATAATAACAACTCCCGGTAGTGTCGATAGATGGCCGAGCATTCACGGAATATTCCTTGAGTTCTGGAATATATCGAGTCTCGTTGATTATTGACGTTGAGTCCCGTGCACCCAGTAAGGAGAGCGGCGGCCAGTGCAGCGAGCTCACCCACCGCGTGGCGAGAATCGGCAGCAGCGGGCGCAATCCTCAGAACGCTGAACGCGATCTGATGCGACTACTGGATCTCCCTGTTGCTTCTTGACTGCAGCCGTCATATGTACACCGGTCATGGATCCTTGACACAACAACCTGAAGTTTGATGTTTGGACGCCCTTCTGGATTTTTAAAATGGAGTGCGTATATCGAACATTTCCCTCTTAGACTTGAGGGTTTATGTTGAAAACTGGCTGTTGACATGGTCCCCTTAATGCAAAATACCAGTTTCTTTTTGCTACAATATACAACGGACCATATTGGGATCGATTGTGGTGGAGATTGCTGATTCCGATGTATGGTTTCTATATATACAATGCGGCATGTTAGTGCCCCTCAACAGCTGCAGTTCCCACCCCCCCACCCCCCCCATTTTCTTTCGTTTCTTTGCTTGAACAGTTTACCTCACACATGCGGAACAATTCAACTCTTCCAGGGATCCCTCATTTTCAGTGTTGCATCATTCACTCTTCCCAAGGGTCCTCAATGTGTCATTCAAATTTTCCACTGACAGAGATGCGTTTATACCTCATGTTAAGCCTCGTTTGTGTTTCCCTCAGTAATGAAGGTTCGCATCGGGTCCCTCAAGGTTTATCTTAAATTTAATAGTAACTAGGTATATAGGCTTATGTCCCTCGAGCTCAGCAGTCATGTTCAAAGAGTTGTCCCGCATGCTGTAGTTCCACTGGCGCAGACCTCGCCGACGAAGACGTTCTGAACTCGTGGCTTGCCACTATCCGGCAGCTGATCCAGATATAGGATCGCTTTCTAGTGGGATTGGCCGGTGGAGTCGCTATCAGGCCAGTGTTAATCCGGGCGAAAGCATCGTCCGTCGATAGTGCGGTAAGCTTGCAACGTGTCGACAGGCGTCCCACTGATGTTGCGAATCTGCCAATGACCGCTTGCCCAGGGCCCTGGGTTTTCGTAGGATTAGCCACCGGAGACATCGTTTATGAGGTTCATGATATACACGAACGGAACTAGTGCAAGACCCGCCCCGCGGTAAGCTAGAGGGTGCCCTGCAGGTGTAGCCCGAACTAAATTTTAAACACACAGTCTTGAGGATGCTGTTATGTTGAAACTGGCCGAGGTGTGCGGTTGAGCCCCCTCCCCACTTGTCTCTGCAGTACTAGGTCTGCACACTATACATAACATAATGCTTGTCTGTATTGCGGCTATATGTGTCCAGGTTTTCTTTTGCCCGGGCTTTTTGACATTAATGGCTGACTTCGGTCTGAAGGGTCACAACTGCCGAATAGCTTCAATGAGCCACGCCCACGAGTGGTGATAAAATAATTAACCCTATAAACACGACCGTGCTCGGACACAAATTTTGTTTATTGTTTTTTGTTTTTTAAGGGGATACCATCGACCCAAGCCCGCTCAGGAGCCGTACCACATCACGGTGCCGGTGCGGGTGCGCGGCTGTCCTGGCAAGCACGAGATGTTCCGACTGCCCATCATCTTGCCCCACGAGTTGCTCAACTACCTGGCTGCTACTAGGCAGCAACAAAAATATTATTCTGGGGGTGTAATATTATATATATATATATCGGGGGGTACATTTTTATGGTGGAGTTCCATTATGGTGATCAAGTTTTTTTGCACGATCGCTGATATCCAGCTAGGTCACTGACAAGGTCACCATCTCATTAGCTTCACGTCAGAAGTTTTGGGCTCATGTGCGGGACCACTTCCCTGGTCCACCACACCCTGCCACACAAGAGGGCGTAGCTACACCAATTGCACTTTCAGGGGATGATGCCAAGTGGTCTCTGGCTGGCGACAAACTGACAGTGGTGCTGCTCAGTTCAGTGCTTCAAGAGCGTCACAGCGCCTAGTCTGAAGCTTAAGCTCTATAGTGGTGTTTGTCAATTTCCCCTGCCATGCTCTTAAGTGTCAGAAAAGGGGCATTGGAAACAAAAAAGCAGTGTCTGGTTTTTCCTGGAAGTTTGCATTCTCTATATTGGCTCTAGGTGCTGATTCGACCATGTGTCGCTTTCCCTTGGTGTTTCTGCGCAACGAGTACTACTTGGGGCCGCAAACCTTGCACGATGTGTGGCGTTGCATCGCCTGGTCTCTCAATGTTTCTTGGCTTAAGCTTCTCAAGTTGTAATAATCAACTGGCTATATGTTTCCCAAATTTTCATTAGCATGTTGGCTTAGGTGGCCTTTGGCGGAGTTCATCCTTCAGTGGACTGGCAAGGAAACCCCCTTGACGGCGCACGCCTGCGTCGGGCCGGCAAGCAGATCGCTGGCGGACCATACGCCTTGGTCGAGGCTTGCTGACACCGGTTGAATCGATATAGGGTGGTGTCATAACTATAATATTATGTTCACCCAAAATAATGAGCTATAGGAGCTAATTAATGATTTCACATATATGTTCTCCCCATTATGAGGTGAGAGGAGACTGGGCCTGGCACAACATAATATGGAGGAGTTCTCGATGGTGGAAATCCAAATTTATATGCTACCACTTCGCAAGGCCATATTACAGCCGGGGTGTTGCATTATAGTGATGTCGAGTATCCAGTACTCACCCTCAAGGCATGGAACGGGAGGGTGATGACATCATATATGGCAGTGACCCTGCAGTCACTGGCGCTACAAGTTCCTGGAAACATTGAACTGGCAATGGCAGCTGCCGCCTGCAGCAGCTTATCTGAGTGGTTTTTGAAGCTTGAGATATTTGGGAGGTATCTCACGCAGAACCAAGCTGATGAGCTCCACTCACTTATGATGCAGCTTCTTGCTTCACATGTGTACTTAGATTTAGTAGTTAAATATGTATATATGTGTTTTGACTGGTTAACCCCACATCCTCTTTGACCCCTAAACTTTTGTACATACATATATATATATATATTTCAGCTCAGGTTTCTCCAGTGCTACTCGTTCTTGGCGAAGAGCAATGCTGACCGCAACGTGCTGCGTTTCCCACTGAAGCCACGGTTCCATCTGTTACAGGAGGTTAGTTTTCAAATGAAAACACAGCTGTGCAGTTGCCGATTCACACATTGCTTTCAAGATGAAGATGCTATAGGGCAGATGAAGCGGTTGTGCAAGAAAGTGCACAAGAAAATGATGGAATTTAGAATGATGTGCAGGTGGCTGTTGAGGCTGAGCCGCTGGCAAGCGCACTGACGGTCCGTGGTGGCCAGCTCGAAGTCGAAAATGGCAGCAGGTCAGCGATCGTACATGCAACATGTCAACTACTTGTAAATTGTAAATTCCTTGTAAAATCGAATGTCGTACCAGGGCCCAACGGACGTCTTATATAAGGTGATGTCGTTCCCCAGCCTTACGAACATGAATGTATGCTAATATCTCTGACGCTGGAGCCTCGGGGTATCCTCACCAAGGGAAAGCCAAAACTAAAAGCGACCAATCATAGGGGATAATAACTTTGCGGTTGACCGCTCTGCAAAAAGTTTAGCTTTGTGTGGCTTCGATGGAAACCCCAATGGATTTCCCAACAGGTTGAAGTCTAAAGATCCATCCCAACAACAATCAAAATAAGGCCTTTGAGTCTATTCAGGAGCATCTCATTTTAGACGTTCCACCGGGAGACAGCCACACCAGTTACGCAAAGATTTCCGCACAACCCCCCCAAAAAGGGTCTACCCTCCCTCGTTGCTGTTGACCCCCTGCAAACAGTTGAAAACTGTTTGGGTGTTTAGTGGAAAACCCAACTTGATTTCAACCAAAAAGATAAAAAGTCTAAAGATCCAACCCAATAGGCGTCAACATATAATGGTTGGAACATCACCCAACCACCTTAAGGGGGAGCCCGCCCAATAGCAGTCATGCCTCAAAAAAAAACAATTTCACCCGCTTCCACCAAGTGGCTCTTGGCTTCTCCCCTGGCTGCGCAGCACGCGACGCCTGATGTCTTCTCCTCAAGCGTGGGCTTTTGAGGGCACTCCGTTTGGGGTTGGTTGAAGGGAAAACAAAATAGGGATATATAACCTTTCTGGGGCTACCCACGTCATGTGCTCAAATTCATCATGTCCCGCAAAGACATGGAGTTTGGTGAACTACATTTCCCCAAAGGTCTTTTGATCAGTGCGACAGATGTAACCCTGAATACAGCTATTTAGATCGTTGCTCACGTACCTCCAAAAGGAGTCATACACTAGCACAGGCCAACATGCGTTTCCAAGAAGCTAGCCATCCATGCTCCAAACTCCATGAGGGTAGGAAGAACCTACACCCTTCACAAATGCGCATTCTTGTGCGATTCAGGCCTGGGCTGTCATGGGCTAAGGGATTGTTGGGATCTTCCCTGGTCAGCGCCGGGTTTTGAAAGGATCCCAATTCTGGGTTCAAACGTCTTGGCCAAATGTCGACAGCAAACGTTGACATGTTGCCGGCTAAAAAGGAACCAGTTGCTTAAGTCTGGCAAGGTTATGCCCTACGAATGATAGATCAATCCGCCCGGTTGGCTCAAATGAACTTGAAAGGATGGCTAATGTGATTCGAGTCCGGTAATACCAGTGTCTAAAATGTTGAAACTTCATCATCTACTACACATTGCTATACTTTGCCAAACGAGTTACGGAAGCCCTACGTGGGACCTCTATCTTGTGTGAGCTCGGCCCATTTACCAATTGCGAACATGTTCTAGCTGGAAACGTGGCCTGGAAATGGGCAGGCGTTCGCGCGGGCGCAGCTCTGACATTCCACAATTGTGTGGCGGCTGCACGTGTCACCACGCCTAACCAATCGCCATTTGCACGCACGCGCGCACGCACGCACATGCATAGACAAACACGCACAAAAGCAAAAAAGCAAGCACGCAGGCAGGTTAGCAAGTCAACGTCGCGAACACACACACACCAAATAGGCAGCCAGCAAGCATGGAAGCATTCCAATTCAAATCAACCAGCCAACACTAACACACATAGACATTAAGAAGCAAGCAAACAGCCAAACAAACAAGCAATCACGCAAAGATAAACACAAACACTAGCACACATACGCGCAGACAAGCACGCGCGCACTGGCAAAACCCACACACACACACACACGGCAATATCCATCTCCCCCCTCTCACAGGGCCCAGAAGCACTCACACATTTCTAGTGCCCAGCGTCTTCATCGCATTTCTCTGCTTCTTGGCTTGTTCAGCCTGCATGGGGTGGATGATTTCTCCCCGTGCAAACGACTAGCAACTCACACCAAGACCAAGGGAATCCTCCGTGAATCCCTAAGGCCTTAGCCCCTCGCAAAAAAACAACAACACGGAGACATAGACATGCAGAAATGTATGTGGAGAAAAAACGCACGGAACCCTGCGAATCATTGGTTTCCTTGCCAACAAAGCACTCGCAGTTTCGACCAAGACACACAAAACGCAGTGGCAGTGTACCCTATCATGACGGCGATTTTAAGCCTGTCGGGATTTCACCTCAACGGAGGTTCGTGGTGTAGCCTTTGGACACTGGCAATTTCCACTGCCCAAAACAGTTTGGAGTAACAGTTGGACCCTATTCCAGGTGTCCTTTTGGGACAAAATTCCACGGCACTGGCAAACGATTTAGCCCATACTTGGAAAACAACATTGAAACCATGTTGGATGCCGTCGTTGCGCGGAAATCTGGGTGCAACATTGGGGGGGGCATACAAATAATGTAATTACGTAACAGTACGTCGTGTTTCCACCTTCGTTGTTTCTATGGGATTCAAACCACCATCAAAACAATGGCTGGGTTAATCTAAGCACCAGTGTTTACCTAAGGATTGGGTCCCCCAGGGCCAGTCTTTGAATGGGGGTTGAGTGAAATCGGAAGGAGGCCGTTCAAAAAGCCCAATATTGGCTTCCAAACATCGACTGCATGGTCAAAAAAAGTTGCCAAACTGGGGCAACCAAAATGTCGATTCGCGTTGGGCAAGCGAACCTGTTTTGAGACGAACCCAATCACTTCCCAGAAGGTCACAGGTGACCTTCCGGGAAAATAGATGGCCCTAGGTGAATAAAACCTATCTAAACCAGTGAAACCCATCTATTTCTAACCAAACTAACCTGAAACATCGACACCTAGTGAAACCCATGTACCGCCCAAGCTGCGCCCTTGCGCTCGGACCATTCGGCCGCCCAAAGGGCCTGGAGGTAATCCTCGGCATCCGCCTGCTCCCCCACGCGCTTGGAGTCCGAGTTGTCGCCACTCCTTTGCCCGCTGTCCGATCCCCCAGCTTCTTTCCAAGCCTCATTTTGGGATCCTGATTTTCCAAGCCGCCCAGAAAGCCAAGGAAACCAGCTGGTGCTTGGAAAGAAGGACTATCGTTGACCAGAATGGGGAGACAAGGTGTGGGGCACAGCGTCCGTAGTTCAATCTGGAACAACACAAAGTGGCTTGTCAGCAAGGCACCGACTGATATTTGCAGCCCCCCGACACCCCCAAAACAACATGAACAACACCGAACAAAAAACAAAACAACACATCCCCAGTGCAAACTCAAGCTGTGAGCGAGGGTTTGGGAAGAGGATTTGCCTTTGGCTCGGGATCGGTTCGCAACATCCCCTCGAGCGCCCCTCACCGGTGCATGTCACTATAGTTGAAAGTCTAACTGGAGGACAGCAAAGGGCTAGCCGGCACCCCTGCGTGAGCCTGGTAGGAAAGGAAAACTTGTTTTTTTCTTGACACGCATTGCTGGCGGTCAACCCAGCAAAACCGACCAACTGAATCCAGAAGCGGATCCTATTCTGAGGCCAGGTGTTGGCCGAAGACACTGGCCAGAATTCATGGATCCCAGAAGGAGAGGGTCCCTTTACTGGGATGGCCCGTCACGCTTCAAGCCCAACAACACGAATCTCCAGCCGAAAACCGTCTCTTTCAGCTTGGAGAATCTCTAGGGAAGACCTGGTTGCTCAACTACCAAGGTCCTCAGGTCTCTCTTTTCTGTTGCGCTACCTGACGCGTCTTTGCAGCCTCCTACTAAAAATGACGAGAATCAACATGCTGCAAACTATGGCACAAGCCTAACCAAGGTTGGTCGAGAGTTGAGAACCCAGTCCCAGCTATCCTCGCTGAAAAATGAATCGCGTGCTGCTTTGATTAGTTGCTCAACTCAATGCCCAAGGCGCACGCCTGGCCATGTCGCCGGATGTTCTTTTACCTTGTGGATTTGTACGGGGTGTTCCTCTAAAATGAGAGCTTCCCTCTTAAACGGGATACCCCGTTTGAACCACACAGGGGTTGGCTGCAAAGCCAAACTGAAGACAGCTTGTGTAATCACACATGGTTGGGTATGTCCTTAATTCGTAGGAGGGTACAATCAAAGGGGGTACATGACGTACAGATTCTTGACTAAAGCAAGATCCTTAAAATGCCCCAACAAATTAGTAATTTATCGGTGACTGGATGAAACCTGTTGGGGCAGTTGCAAGCCAACTGGAGCTTTCAAGGCGCCTACTCGGCAGGGCCCAGCTAGTTTCGACTGACAAGGCAAAAAGTGAATTGCAGGTTGAAAGAAAAAATATGGAACCCAAAACGGCAAAGAGATAAACAGGCAAGCTCAGCCTGGCAATGTGGTCTTGTCAAACGGTTCAAAGCCAATGTGCAGCAACCACCTCTCAGTCACGACACATACACATATCTAGGGTGCTATACACACAAAATCACCGTCATGGGATGCAAGCTGAAACCAGCTTCTCAAAAACCCGATTATGGTGCCTGTAAGAGGCACTCACCCCCAATTTGGTATATCGGGGATAACCCCCTTCAAACCCTTCGTCAAAGGCTTTATCTTCCCGTGTTGTGTCTGCTGTATCTTCCGTCGCTCTTGTTTAAAGGATATCTGGGTGTGGCAGGGTGCGGCTCACGTTTTTTCCCACAGCTGGGGCCAACCGGCGGGTTTTGATCATTGTTTTCACAGGTCCTTTGGGCGCCCCACTTGGGCATCCCACTTTGTTTGCAGCCAGTTGACAGCTCGGTGCTGGGCCAGACTTATGCCGGAGAATGAAAGGAAAGCAAAGATGGACTTGGTGGCTATTGCCCGCGCAAGCGTTTTTAACTTGTGGGATAGCGCAGGGGTTCAACCCCCATGAACAAAATGGTTGACCCAAGTCGGATGATGAACATCCTTAGGAAAATAATGGTGGTCATATTAACCCGCATTGTTTTAATGGTGGTTTGATCGCCAGGGTTATCGGTTGAAAACACAAACGTTTCAACCCAAACGTTAAAGATCCAACCCGATGGCGTTCGCCTGGCAAAAAAATGGGGTCCATTAAGACTGCCTCCGCCAAGGCTCTCGCTCTCATTCCCCTTCTTCGTCCGGTTGGCTTTGCCCTTGGAGGATGCATTGGCCTCTCACCATCTGGAGTTCAAGCGCCAGAAACAAAATTGACCAAAATTAGACCATGGTAAGATGAAGCAGCACACCAAACGGCAAAAGCGTTCAAGGGTAAGCTTTGTCTGGCCATGGAAGGGAAATGCCTCTGTGGTCCGCGAAATGTTTCAGGCTCCTTCCGATCCCGTAGATATTAGTTTAAATCGTCCAGGAACGGTTTACCACGAAAATGACCCCAGCCCAAAAAGTAACAAATCCATAAGCTCAAGTGAAGGCACCCCACAGCTCCGTGGATTCGTTTGGATTGCTTCTAATAGGTGAAACCGAACTTGTTCATCCTGTTGGGACACCCTCCTTGGTTCGACCCCCCAAAGAGAACCTCCCCTCCCGCGTCGCCGGGAAAGATGAAATGGCCCCTGCACACCTGTCACTGAGAAACAAGGGCTCAGTAAAAACAGGCGCTTTTGCCATGTTTAAATCTTGAAACAAGTGCTTCTATGTTTCTCCCGCAGACCTATGCAAAGACATACTGGCCTCACTTCCTGAGTGAACTGGCCACAAAAAGCCCAAACTTGTTGTTTACCCGTAAAATGGTCCTCCCAAACAGTTTGAAGTCTATGAACTCAGGGAGTGAGTGGCGCGGCAGCTCGTCCGCCAAACTTGCGATCTGGGCACTTTCTTGGGTTCAAAGAGTTGAATCAAAAGGCCCATGTGCGCTCGAGGGATTACCGCATCGCGGCCTGGCTGCCATCTTTAGACCAGGCATGTGGACGCTAAGGGAAGGCTGCCCGGCCGGCTATCCTAAAACATCCGGAAGCATTGGATATTGCCCCAGACATCTAAGTGATGTCCCTGTTTTAAATAGATTAGAGGTCCAGGGGCATGTTCACAAAACACAGTTCTCCGCCACCGCAAAGTTTTCGCAAAGAAAGACGAAGGGGAATGCGCAAATAATGAAGTCTATGCTTGTTTCCGGTCCTACGCATATATGGGTGTGTCTCACAATGAGGGGACCCCCAAAATGGTTGGGTTTCCTTTTAGCGTCCCAAACTCTCCCCATTTGGGGTACCCTCCAAAAAACAGCCACCGACCTCGTTTTACGCGTAAATCACACCCATTCAGGGGGTCGGCCTCGCAAAAAGTCACAATAAGCAAAAGCGGTTCGTTTCCTTTTGGTGTCTCTTTGAACTACCCCCATTTAGCCCCCAAAAAAGAACAGGCCACGAACAAAGCCAATTTTCCGCTCTGCGAAAACGGCGCCGTAAACGACGCCGAAAACCGCCGGCCGAGCGCCTGCGTCTCGGAGCCGTTGCCTCGGATGGATGAGGGTGAGACCCGGTGGGTCTTGGAATCTGTTTTCATGCTGGATGTGGGTATGACAGTTTCTCGGTTGCTTTCTGCTCCCCTGCTAAAAGTTCAACTTTTAGTGGTTTAATTGGAAAACCCATTAGTTGGCCAAAAGTTAAAGTCCTAACATCCAAGCACATGCACCAAAGGCGTTTTAGGGACACACACACACACAAATTCGTGATGTTCCTTTTGGTTCCCCTTAGAACCCACCAACAAATGGATACCCTCCAAACAACACACCCATGTCAGCAATTTCTCCAACCGACAAAATGGGGGCTCGGAGGGGGATGAATTTATCAGTCGTCTCATTTATCTTTTTGTATCTCTCGCGCACGGATGATAGAAATGCTAACTGATTTTTCCCCCTTGATCTGTTTGCTTTTTCTTTGTCATGGTACCTATGCACTACTTGTAAGTCGTTTTATCCTTATATATGGTTGGGTCTGCGAATGCTAGAGAAACGAACAGAGAGATAAGTAGATAAAGTGATGAAGACAGAGATAGGATGGTGACCGAAGAAACGGTTCACCCCATCTCTCTCCTGCGTCTGGGAGGGCGGTTGACCTGTTCCTTTCGTACACAATCTCATGTCTTAATCAAGGGGTTGGTGGCCGGTCACCGTCCTACATCAGGTTCTCCAGCTACAACCGTTTTTAACACCTTGGGACAACCGTATAACACATTGGGATTTGGGACGGTTGGAGGTGAGAGCAGTGAGCTGGTGACCATCCATTTGCTTTCGTCTATCTGTTTGCCCTCTGTCTCAAGAATTAGGAGAGGATACTGATAATACAAGAATAATGGATTGGACATGTAATGAGATAAGAAAAACATGTAAAGAGACATAGGTAATCAGTAGATGAATACACATGAAGGATAAGGAAATAATAATTCTAGAAATATTTGGATTATTCTTTGTACATGTCCAAATCTTAAGGTCTTAACATATCAAAACAGTACAATGGAGAAAGGATTACGAAGCATTACATATTATTGGTGTTCGATCTTCTGGAGAAGACGCGAAGGGAAGGGAAGGATAGCACTCATCATCCAACATGCCGACAATCTGGTCTGAATTCTCTTCCCCAAGCTCATTCCATCGCTTGGTTGCTTGGACGGGCTTGGAGGTGACGGTTGGACCGCAAGTCACCAGCAGTAATAGATAGGTATGCAATAAATGATGTATTCGTTCTCTTGTCCTTTTTCATTTATCTTTTATTGAGCTTTACAACTTGCCCAAGGACCAACTGAAGCGATAGAATGCGTATGCTGCAATAATTCACAGTCTACTACAGTATGTCTTTTCTTATCTCTTAATCACAGGTTGTTAAGGAAATTAATTAGCCCCCAAATGAGAGACAAATACACTCTCCACAAAAAACCAAGTGATGGAAATTGAGAGCTATCCATCCCATCACCTATATCTTGTCCTTACCTCATCTTCATTGTCCAGCTCGTTTTTGTTGTTGTACATGTGCTCCATCATAATTGTGCCCTAACATGTCCATCGATTGAAAGGCTCTTACACCCACCATCCTATCACCTGCCTTTCTTATCTATTCCATTCAAATGAGTCCTCAAACAATAAGACCTCACATGTTGCAATATTGATCAATAACTAATATAAGCTGAGAGCATATCACAAAGGAAATGCCCAACACAATATGCTCTCTGTGTAAAACCCTTGACTTCTTATCTTCTAGAATCTATTGGTGAAGTGCACAGGTGATTCAGAGATGAGCTACGAAGAGATGCAAAAGAAGTCAAGAGCATGATCTCAATTTGACCTTCCGGGGAGGTGGGCTAATCATCCGAGAAGAAAGAGTCTGGGAGACCCCAGGCCCCAGAATTCGGCGGAAGCCAACCCCAAGAACTGGCCCAAAGATGTTCCGAATACGTCCGCTGGAAAAAGAAATGTCCAGTAATGATCTATTCCCTTTAAAACCAACAGGGGAAACAAAACCCAGATTCGTAACCAAATGGAAGTGTTAAAACCTAAGTTTCTCAAGCCTTGCACGTCCGGCGGAACTGTCGTATCATTCGGAGCTTGCAACGAGCCATACTTGTGTTTATCAATTTGGGGTTTGGAAGTTCGGGACGGGTTTCACGACACCTGAAGATGTAGGTTCGCCCTCGTGATCTCTCAAGTACATCCCGGGAAGGCATTTGCGTGTGTGCTATCAGATAGGGGACCGCCCAAAATTGTATTTGTTCATTCAGTCGTTCGTTCAAACCGCCAAACAGGGCACCCTCAAAGACACGCCCATTTGGACCTTCCGTTCATGACCGTGGCGCTGGGCGCTCTGCTTGAACCCCGGACCCTCCAAGTGGGTTTGTCTCGAAATGGGACGCCACAATGGAGGTCGGTGTTCCTTTCTGGTTTCACTTTAATTTAACTCACTTCCTGAGTTGATTAGACAAATAACCAGTCTGAACTTTGTTATCACGAAAATGTCCCAAACCCAAAAAGTGAGGACTAGAGTACAGAATCTCATGAGGTGAGTTAAACGGTAGCCTCAAACAAATCGGAATTACACCCGGTTGCGCTTGAGGAGCTTCTCGAAGTTGCGAGCAGGAGGTTGGCATGAGGAAGTCCTAACACTCTAAGGGGCTCCGCATGCTGAGGCACAAATAGGCACCCGTTTTTTGTTGGCAGATCTCCAATGGACACTTTCTCACCAAAAAAACAAAAAGACCGAAGAGGAGAGGGGAATCCACTGGTTGCAACCATGTGTTTTTTTTGGTAACGTAGATGGCCCTGGTAAATACAAGCAAAAACCATTTAAACCAGCGGAACAGATCTATTTCTATTCAAACTAACCTAAAAAGGACACCTGTGCTAAGGGGTGTTCTTACTATGCCACCAACTGTTTCTGCAATTTGCAGACCTAAAAAGGACACCCAAATGGTTTCCACTCGCCGCATTCTGTTGAACAACGACATCTCGGTTGCTTTCTTCTCCCCAACTAAAAAGTTTAACTTTTAGTGGTTTGATTCGGAAAGCCCATTCCTTGGCAAGAAGTTAGTTAAAGTCCTCACATCCCTTGGCAAAAATCACCAAAGGTTTATTTGTGGGACACACAAATTCAAAATGGTGGTGGACACCCAAGTGGTTGCAACTGGCCGCATTTTGTTTACTTCCACTTGCTTTGTCGCCCCGTAATAATTAAAAAAAAAACGACAACTCCAGTAACTGATCGATTATTTTTAAAACCAACAGGTTGGACAATCACAAAATTAACCAAATGGAAGGAACCAAATGGAACCCGTGTTTCAAAGCTGTTTTGAAGTGTTTGAAGCGCACGGGCGCTCTCTTGGCATGGTCCCAAAACACTGAGGGAACAGAGGCCTACACTCAAATAGTTCCCCGCGCCAAAACGGGCTTACTATGAACGACCTCGCAACCGAAGTGCTCAGCGCCAGCGCGGCGTCTCGTACCGCCTTGCTGAGGAGGCTGAGGTCCTCCGAGGAATCGGCGGCGTCAAACGGCCAACTTGCAGATGCCCAGTGGATTTCCATGGGAGAAGTCGGCATCCTATTTTTTTGTTTGGTTGACTTTGAAGGGAAACCCGTATAATTACCAAAAGAAAGGAGAGAAAAAAGGGCACCACGGGCAACTGGGAACTCTGGAAGTTGGGGCGGGTTCACCTGTAAAATTGGGGGGGGCGGGGGGGGACTTGGTTCCAGTTTGAGCGGAACGAGCGAGGACTCTGCGAACGAACTGAGGCTCATTGCCATCTCACAAAAGGGACCGACATTTCGCTTGATCTTGGGGAATACCCTCCCTTCCACTAGCAAAGCACCTGTGAGAGGACCCTCGGTCAGATGCCATGCTAGTGGGAGAAAGGGCGTGTCTTTTTAAGGGTACCCCTCTTTGGTCTCATGTTAAAGGGAAACCAAGGGGGAAACCACGGTTTTTATTGAGGGGGGTTCCCCTAAAAAACACACACACAAATATGAGAATGGACCCCCATACTGCCCTTAAAACATGAAACAGTGAATGGCAAAGGATGATTGCCCTCCTAAGAACAAACAAGGAGAGGTTAAGAACCTTGGGCAAGTCAGTGCAAGCCAGACTTGGGAAGCAGGGCAAACCTGACAGCTTGCTTTCCCAACCCATATGAAAGCGAACAACTCCTTGTGGCCAGTAGACCTGAACAAGAACCAATGAAGCAAACTAAGAACTCATGCCACATGCTTACAATAGGCTTCCCTATATGCCTTCCATCAACATCACGTAAATTCGGAAACTCACGTGAAATCTTGCCGGGTTTAAGGACGCGTTGGAATGCCAATGGACAACTTATTAAGCCCCGGGCCCATCCTGGTTTGCCTGTTGGCACATCTTTTGTGGATGGCAGAAAGGGCCCATTGTAACCAACATGGAAATTGCTCCCTTTCAACCCTGGGATTCAAATGTAGAGAAGGGATTGCGGGCTTCTTTCCATGGCCCCTGGGAACCAGCAAGCCGTCAGACCTAATGCCCTGTGTGAACCACCCCTTGAAGCAATCAAGTTAGTGAAGTGCCTCATGGGAATGGCCAATGGAAACTGTGTCCACTGCCACTATCCACTCAGGATTTTCAACTTTTGCGCGGAGGCCGACCGCTGGTTCAAATACAAGGAACCTCTGAGCAAACCGGAAAAAAAAAAAAAAAAAAAAAAACATATTCGCCCGAAATCGAACATCCCGAGCCCTGCCTCGTGTACGAGTCGCACCGTCTGAGTCAATTCCTCGACGAAATCCACAGTGAGTATGACACCTGCATCGATGTTCCACTGCATCCCATGCACACGCCCCTCCAAACCGGCGCGCATGGGCAAAATCTAAAAAGGGCACTTCTTCCGGCATGAATTTAAAGAACCCCGCTCGAACTCGCAGGCGGAACAACTGGAGGTTTGGCCCTACAAGGAACTGCACAAACCGCTGAGGACGGGTTGATTCATCCAGGGTGAACGTTTCTCTCTGCAAGCCTCTATGCATTTGCGGGTCCAACGTGACATCCTCTATTCGTGAGTGCCAACTCAAAAAAAGACGAGCCACAACCAGGTGTCCCATGATTTTTCACAACACTTTCTGTTTGGGGGGACCCCCAAACATGGGTGGCGGTTCTGTTGGCTTCCCTTCAAAACAACCAAAACAAGGGGGTACCAGCTGCAAAAAGACACGCCGCCCATTCCTGCATTTTCTTAAGTCCCCTGGAAAAAATGAGAGAAAAATGAAAATATGTCCACCAGTGAAAGCTAACAAATATTCTTAAGCAAATACCCCGTGTACAACCGGAACTGCTCAAGCCGTCTCCACCTGTTCTTAAGCAAATGGAAGCATTTGAGAACTGATGCAACTGAGTCGCCCCGATCCGTGACCAACTGCCAGGTCTCAATCTTTGGCAGAAAGCAGCGCCGGATGTCTGCCAGCGTGGATACCGCACAGCCTCGATCGATCACATTGGGCTTCCCTCCAATTGTGGATTGGTTTCAAGGTTGGGGCGGGGCTTCCCTTTTACCCACAAGAACCAGGGCTTGAAACCCATCAAAACCACCGCAGGGCTACCTCACTACCTGACGTTCAGCTGTCCTGTAATTGATGGTTTGGCTTGGTATGGTTTCATGGCTTGGACGTTATGATGGACCAAAGGGAAACCCACGAGTTGTCAGGCAACCCGCAATTGGTGGTGTGGAGCCCAGTGGTTTCGAGTTGGATTTGAACTTCACTAACTGTTGAGACCAAACCACCAATTTGGTGAAAGCTGAGGTACATTGGCCCAAGTGATTTTGAAACAACACGGGGAAATCAAGGCCTTCTTTCCAACGCTTGGGATGTTATCACTGAATGGTCGTGTTGAGCCCCCCACTTTGACAATCATTGCAATTCCAACCCCTTTCTGCCATGGTAAACCACATGTACGGCAAACTCGTTACAGAGACTTTTTGGAGGGCGCTCAACATGTTCCAACTCCCATCCTGATTCTTGACCACCTCGTTGCGTGGGTGCAGGACAAAACGCTGGGGATCCAAGCACCCCCCCCTCACAGGTCTAGCCTCATTTGCAACCAAGACAAAACCAAATAAACCAAGGGGTTACCTTTCCAATAAAGGGATTTTCCAAAGCTAAATCCAGGCTTCTAGGGTTGAAGGGGGTTTGTTTTGACTTGATTCCTTGCAGGTTTCACGAGAACCCGAAGAAGCTGGACATCTTCCAGCATGGGTTGCTTCGGCAAAAGCCGTGGAGGACCAGGCCCCTTCGTTGTACAGAGAATGAGCTCGAATTTATATCCAGGTCATTAAACATGTATTGGGCCATAAGTAAGTTGCTGAATTGCACCTTCTGGGTCCCGCTGCCTTTTCAAGCTTCCCTTTCCCCAACAAAACGGAGTCCTCCACTTTTAGGTGCGGCCCAAGTAGCCGTTGACGCTCTCCACCTCAGCAAAGGCCGCTTTCGATTTGGTCTCACTTACTGGGTACCCCACCTCCCAACAGGAGGCATTTGTGTCGAGGAACCCTCTGTCAGGTGCCATGGCAATTCGGGAGGGAGGGTAGATCAGACAAAAAAAGCAAGCAAATCAGACTGATTGTCTATCAAGTCCAAAAGAAAAAAACAACTTGAATCACCCGAAGGAAACAAAAGACCCCTCAAAAGGCAGCGCACTTTTTTGTGGGGTCACTCTCAAGGGCGCTTCAGCTTAAACACCCAGTGGCTGTGGGCACCAAGGGCACCTCCTCTACGGTAATTACTTGATTTTAAGGGCTCCCCTCCTAAATAAACGGGCTCCTGGCAACTCCCTGTGTCGGATGAAACATCACTTGTTTTTTTTTGGCCCCCAGTTGCCAGCTGTGGGCTTCGGTGTCGGTTGAAACTTCACCCGAAACGAATTGATTTCCCACCCGAGATGCGACGGTGGAAACCCACCCGAGACGGAACACATCCCGACGAACCAACGAGCGGACGAGCGGCGATCATGCCGGTGCCCACGATCTCCTCGCAGCTGAAGCCGCTGGCGCAGCTGGTGATGGCCACCTTGGGCTCCAAGGTGTTCTCCTGGCGCTTGGCGAAGCGAAAGCCAAGTGCTTGTTCAAAGTGATATGGCCATGGGTCAAAATCCAAATCGGCTAGCCCCCAGTGAACATCCCAATCCCCACTTTAAAATAGAGACTAAACTGGGTGGTGCACCTACCCCAAAATGGGATCCCATTGGTGTTGCACCACAGCCATGGCTCACACAAAATGTACCGCAATGGCACCTCGGTAAATGGAACCAACGACTAACCACTGCGCAACCCTAGCTCTTTAGCTTTGAACTCATATGCCTTAATCATATCGCCCACGAAGCCAGGAAGCTTAACTAACCACCTTGATGTAAATTAAGCACCTGTCTGCTTGGATATGGGCTGGCTATATATATATATATGTAAGCCCGCAGGTTCTCAGCCACCTATGACAGGCCAATTAAGTGTGTTGAACATCCAAGTGGACGGCCGAGGTTGTTCGACAAGTGCCAAAGGATGGAGACATCATCCAACAGAAGTGGTTCAGACAGCTACAAGCTTCGGGTCTTTGCCAGACAGGTCGGCAACTCGGAGAGATGAGGCATGCTGGTTGCTCAGCATGCCTCGCACTCTTGAGCGAATTTGCCAGGCACTGGTCAGGTAACTTTGGCTTAGCTCACAAGTCAGGCGGCCAGCCGTCTCTAGTATAGCATCTGGGAGAACATGCAAACCCATCAGCATCGCCCTCATGGCGCGAGAGTAGAAGTTTGGCTGGGAAACTCTTGCAAGGCAAAAAACACTAATCCAAGCCGAGCCGCTGTTTTGGCCTTGGCCAAAAAACCTCGGCAACTAGCTGGAACCAACCCAAAGTAAAAACACAACAATCGCATTGCGGAAAGGAACAACTCGATATAACTCGCCTGTTCAGGTTACCCTTTTGGGACCACTCACTTGAAAGGGTCGAGCCGGGGACGTGCAAGCGGGCGACCCGATTTTGTCCCCTCCTCCAAGTAGAATCGGCCCAGCGTTTCTCCGCCATACGCTTGGATCCACCTCGGAGAGCAGGCGGCTGGTCCATGAGAGCAGTGAGCAAACTGAAATCCCCGAAGTGAAAATTCCGGGCCTCGGCAGGGCGCCACAGAGAAAACCATCTGTGCAAATAAAAAATCGACGAGAAACAATGCAATCCCCAAAAAATATCAGGTGAGGTCCTAGAGGAAACAAGTCGCCAGATACAGCAAATGAGCGACCAATTGGTATCAAACAAATGGGGTGCCTCCGAAGCAAAGCAAGTGCTTTCCATTGGAAGGTTCTGGAATGCCAATAGGAAGCCAACCTGGGGCTCCCCTTTCTGAGGATTCCCCCCCCAAAAGTTAGCGCGCGCCGCGGCACGAATCCACATGGTTCAGGGTGAGCTGCACCATGGTGAGCCCAGCAAACCACTCCTCAGCCGACCGCCCAGGATCGCCCAGGTGGTCATGGGGAAACATATACCTGGACCCTCAAAATTCCAACTGAAAAATGGGTTACTGCCCCAAAATTATTGAGGAATTCCCTGTTCATGGGTAGTTTGAGGGTTCAGGTAAACATCAGGGCGAAAGTAGATGGCGCAGCTTCCTTCATGTGAGCTTGCTTTTTTCGGGGACCCTTTGGTGGACATCATTTAGGTGGGGATTTATGTCCACCAACCACTTGTGAGGGCTTCCCCTTTACAGTTCATAGCATGAGGGGACGACTAAGCCAGCATTTCGAGAATCGCGCCATGTACTTTCACCTGCCCAGCATTGTTAGGGGTCCCCTGAAAAAAGACAAACCCACATTTTCCCCAAAGCTCCCCAAGATCCAATCAAACGATTCATTCAGGGCATGGCAATCCCAAACCTAGCACACATTTTGCGGAAATACAGAAGCCGACATCTATCATGAATGTGTCGTTTCTGAAGTTGGTGCCCCTTTTTGGTGGGACGGCTTGACATCAAAGCACCAAAAGGATATTTGAACATTTCCTGTTCAACAGGTGATTCTTGAATTGGGTGACCTTTGTATTTGGCTCGAACATGCTCGAACATGAGTTCTAGGATGATACACACGTTATTGTCATTTGGTGCAAGCTCGAACCTGATTGTAGACTCCTGTTCAAGGTCCCCTGGCTAAACCATCTAAGATTGGACATCTCAGGACCTCTGTTGTTTGAGCCATATCGTTTGCAGTGCCGTGTCTTTGGCGCGGTCCGTTTCGCAAGCAAGCAAGCAAGCAAGCAAGCAAGCAAGCAAGCAAGCAAGCAAGCAAGCAAGCAAGCAAGCAGGCAGGCAGGCAGGCAAGCAGGCAAGCAGGCAAGCAGGCAAGCAGGCAAGCAGGCAAGCAGGCAAGCAGGCAAGCAGGCAAGCAGGCAAGCAGGCAAGCAGGCAAGCAGGCAGGCAGGCAGGCAGGCAGGCAGGCAGGCAGGCAGGCAAGCGCAAGCAGGCAAGCAGGCAAGCAAGGCAAGCAAAGCAAGCAAAGCAAGCAAAGCAAAGCAATGGAAAGCAAGCAAGCAGGAAAGCAGGAAAGCAGGCAGGCAGGTAGGCAGGCAGGCAAGCGAAAGCAGGCAAGCAGGCAAGCAAGGCAAGCAAAGCAAGCAAAGCAATTCAATGGAAAGCAAGCAAGCAGGAAAGCAGGAAAGCAAGCAAGCAAGCAGGCAAGCAGGCAAGAAAAGCAAGTAACGCAAACAAAGCAAGCAACGCAAGCAAAGCAAGCAAAGCAAGCAAAGCAAAGCAAAGCAAAGCAAAGCAAAAGCAAAGCAAGCAACCAAGCAACAAGGCCCGGCCTGGATGCAAAGCACACTGAGTCGGGTTCCCCCCTCGCCAGGCTGGCAAAAACACAAATCCGCCAGGGCCTGTACCAAGGCCGCAGGGCCATAGGGTCCGATGTTGCCGCCTAGGAAGATAGATTCCCTTCAAATTCAAAATGGGAAAGCATCATAGAATCATATGGCTATGGCTCAAAAAACCGGTACCAAAATGGAACCCGGCGAATGGAAGCATGGACCAAAACCTGCGTAACCCCCCCTGTTTAATTTTGAGCCAACATATATTCTTAAGCAAAATGGAAGCCATGGGAACCATAAGTCCAGCCGCGTAGTCCTTCGCGCTGTCGTCATAGTTCGGCTCGTACAAATACCGAATGCCCCCCTCAAAGCGGCTGCTGTTCCATTTCCTCCGATCCGAATTCTGGCTGCGGCGCTTTGGCTTGGGAGCTGGAAAGGCTTGAGGTGAAGAATCGGAGGGGGCGAACCAATGGTAGAAGTGCAAAAGGAGCAATCGCTGGTAGCATTGAGTTTTTGCCGTTGTTGTTGAAGCCTTGTTGTGGAAGGTAATTACCCTCTCTGGAAGAATGGGAGCGGAATATTTAAAAGAACTGGTCGGGGGAGCATCATGTTAATAGGACGGGTTTAGTAACACTACCTGGGAGCTTGAGCTATGGACCAAAGCTGGAAAACCAAAAGCTTCAGAGCTTGGCTTGGGACGAAGCTACTTAAGACCCAGCACGACATTGCGCTAAGGTCGCAAGCTGGAAGATATTTGGGAACCGGACAGCCCGACCCTTTGGACGAGGGTTGGGGCATATCCTTGGTGGCCTGAGGCTCGCCAAACCCTGCAATGGAGCCCTCTGGACTGACATCCCCCCACAGGATTACTGCTTCCTGCTTGGTTTGACTGTCATAAGCAGTCAGGGGGGCAAGGTCTGAGAGATCCGTGCCAAACTTCCCAACCAGGGATGGGCAAAGTCCGTTTGCGCCACTGGTGGAAACCGTTGCTTGTTTGGTAATTACCGGGGAATCGAGTCATTCCAGTGGGTTTCTGGAACGTGGCGCGAACTGGATTTCGCAACCATCCCCAGTAGGGGTGTCTTTTTGGAGTTGGCACGACATTTTAGTGCGGATGCAAAGGGAACCAAAAGGCAAACCTTGGGGGTCCCCTAAACAAAGGGCACACCCTCGGAAACTGAGGGCAAGGCGAAGGTTGCAAGCTTTGCTTCTACCCCTCCCAGGCATTTGCACGTGGGATTCGCAGGCAAGACTTTACAATTGGGCTATCTGGGGTGTCTTTCTTTGAGGGTACCCGTTTACAGAAAACCACCATTTGTTGTTCCCCCCCCTCAAAAAAGTTCAGGTGATATCCCCAACAGCATGCGGTGCTCTTTTTAGTGCTCGCACCACCCCGCAGCCCTCGCAGAACCTCGTGGAACTTTCGTGGAACTTTCGTGGAACCCTGGTGGAACCCTGGTGGAACCTGACCTCAGGGCCGCCCCGGACCACCCCGGAGCCTATCTGGGCTGAGACCCCAAAGCTTCCAGCTGTTGGGGAAAAAAAGGAAAAGAAAAAGAAAAGGCGCACCCAAATTTGTTGCTTTCTTCTTTCCCCGGGACCATCTACTATTTCTCAAGTGCATGTGATAAGCCCTGCGCACAGCGCCCCTTGCTTTTTTTCGGTGATGGATCAAGGGACCCAGTTACTCTGTGTGCAAATCAACATGAAACCCAAAAAGGGAGCACCCAAAAAGGAGTCTCTGCTCAGAATTGATTTGTTGGGTTTTCTGCTAATTTGCCAGAGGCCAACCCCCTATTTTCAAGAAAGAACCTCAATTCCGATCCACCCTCATGGTCAGGGTGCAGGCTGAGGGTGTGCTCCGTCTGCTTCCCATCCATGCCTGACAGGATAAAAGCAAGCGGCTGGCATGTACAGTCATGTCTGGCAAACATCAATCAACTCTACCGACCTTGCTACCCTGGCCGCTGGTAAGCTGCCAATGTATCCTCTATATCCATTCTAGTAAAACATCCTCAAACTTGCCCTCTGATTTGTGGGTGGACTAGGTTTCCAACCTCCGCTGAACAATTACTTTGGGAACCCCTCAAACATTTGGTTTAATGGACCCAGCTCTGTCCCGCCCAAAGGGCATGACGTATGCTCGCCGCCGAGTGGCAGGTGAGAACTGTGACGTCATCGTCCAAGTGCTCACGGAAGGTCAGCAAATCTTTGAAGCTCACGTATTGCTGCATGTACTCGAAGCCTCGAGGACACACCCCACAACTAGACCACTCAAGGAAAACGACTTGAGGTTCCTTGAGGATTGCCACAAAACCAGCACGACGACAGGGGCACAACAAGGGGCCTGAGTTGAGGGTTTTGTTGGGTGATACTTGTGAGTTTCCTTTGACGGGTGTAGTCTAGAGTTGTGTAGGTCAGCCTTCTGAAAACTGTGATCAATGGTATGGAGGATTGTGGATGGACCGTTTCCATTTCGCATCACCTATCATACCCAACGGAATGATTTGAATCCCCCTTTTAAATACCAACAAACAATGGTTTCCCGTGGTTTCAAAGTGGTGCGAAATGGGTTTCGTTAAGATGTGAAGCCACCAATAAAAGCTGTATATGCATAGATCTTCGAGGTATGGCTTCTGCCTGAAGTCTCAGTCAGGAACTTTGCATATGCATCAATGTGTTCAGTTCAGGCATGGTGTTTTTCATGTTCGACCAGTGAGACATGATATGGCTTAGGCACCTGCTTAGAAAGAAGCTCGTGCGGCAGTGCAATTTCGCCAAGGCGCCCAAAAAACAACTCCACGCCGAAACCGAACATGCGAACATTTGCAGGCGAGAGGCGCTTGCCCATGCCGAAGGTGTCCAACTCGGTGTCATCCTGAGCGAAGGGCGTGGGTAACAAATGACGTTTGTCTTTCCCAAATGAGGCGTGTTTGCGGGGGGGGGGGGTCCAGGGGGAAGGGTGGATGGGGGTTCCCTAGACAATTTGTGAGACAACCGCAACAAACTTCGCTTGGCGGTTCTTGCGTGAGTAATCTTGTGATCGCTTTTTTGTCGGTCCCAGGAGGGCGTTTCTGTTGCTGCATTTTTGCGTCAGCCCAAAAGCTTCTGAGAGCCGACACAGTTGTGGCAATGTTCCCACGGTTGCTGGAACCCTTTGAATGGAAGCGAATCAGTGCGACAAAATATCTAGATTTCGCTGAGTGGCACAGAATCTTAAGGCAAGGAACCATCATAATGAGCGGGGCATACCCTGAAATCCGTTGAGGTTTCTGCAAGTGGGGTGCAACAACCACATCCTTGGATCGTATTGGCCAGCTATTCGGTGGAAAATGGCCCAAACCCATGATATGTTTTTCGCCTGCCAGGATATTCTTGTAGGGTGATTGATTGAAGCTTCGGTTTGGGCCCCAGGCTCGCTTCCCCAGTGGATTGGCCAGAACAAGTCCAAGCTGTTGGCCACTAAGACGGCCACACAAACATCCCCCAAAAAGCACAGCACCAAGTCCGAAACGGTTAGCTTCCGCGACGCGGGCCTCGTGCAGGGCGCGAACCGCGTGCCAAAACCTTCCGACTCGCCCACTGCGCGTTGGGGCCCCCGGCCACCTTCATGAGGAAGCTGCCCACCGGGATGGGGGGGCGCGCCCAGCGGAACAGGGAGAAAGGCATAAACCGGTCCTCAGCCGGGGGCGTAAAAAACCCGCCCTAAAGGCCCTGGAAACAAGAGGTCTGCGACGAAAAGTGGACCGAAAGGGATGTAAGGCTCAGGAAATGAGGGGTGATCGACCAGAATCTGGACAGGAGTTGGGGACCTTTCGCCTGGCTGCAACGAACCCGGAAGGCAAGGAGGAACTCGTTTGTCTTGATGGCTTGACCACGCTTTCAGGTTGCCGAATAGTTTTAGGCAACCCGAAAGGTTCCAAAGAACCCCATCTCATTTTGGGGCTGACCACGGGGGTACACTGACCTGGGACGGAACCAGGCCTTCCTCAAAAAGAGCGCGGAATACACTGACCTCGGAAGGAATAGAATAGAAGAAATACCGTGGTTCTTCCATAGTTTGGTCATTGCTGAGATGCTTGTCACTCTGGCAGTCTGAAAGTTGGGGAGTGCGGATAGCACCACTTATCGAACCCCCCCAAGGTCCCTCGTGATGGGTCCGCACTTTTGGTTTACAACTATACTGGTTTTCCATGTCTTCCCAAAAAGAGTGAGAAGAAGGTTTTCCACTGCCCCCAAATGACTTCCCCGAGGTTCCACACACACACACACACCAAGGGTTGCCAGAACACCACCACTGGTTAAAGGTCAGCAGAAAATTGGTCCCTTTTTGGTTGCTTCCCACTCACCATGAACAGAAGCAAACACAATTGCAAAACATGCAGCCGACAACAGAGGGTAAATACCAACCCTTCTCTCACCAGCCCAGCGGCCATGGGAGAAAGTGCGTTTTGTTTGTTGATTCAAAGGGAAACCCGTTCCAAAAGCTGAAGCAAAAAGCGCCGCTCAAGTTTTCCCTTGCGATTTTGAGTGTGGTACAAACCCTCTTCTCTTACAGCCCCAAAGGCCCTCGTTGGTTTTGAAAGGAAATCTGTGGGGATCTGAGCCGCTTTGCGGGCTTGGCGCTTTGCGCTTCGGCTGTCCCCTTGTCCCATCCCTTTTGTAGTACCAGTATACCAACCCAGACCTTGACACTTGCGCCCCGTCAACGCCATGTGCTCACAAAGGGAATGAACAAATGTTAGGCCCCTTTTTCAAGTCGAAGAGTTGTCGTACAGAAGGGGTCTGTGCACGAAACCAGTCTTGTTGCCAGGAATCGTAAATGTTGGAAGGGCCATCTTGCAGTATCACTCCAAGAGGCTGTGGTTTTTGAGGCTACCCTGTTGAAGGCTTTAAAGGGAGTCCAAAAGGAAAGCCACCAGGTTTTTGGTTCCCCTAAAAACGACACACCCAGAGAGCACGGAAGTGGGACCTCCCGGTCACTCGTCAGCCATTCGCGACTCGACTTGCCGCCCGAGTGGCCAACGGCACGCCCCCACGGCACCCAAGCTTTCGAAGATGGGCCTAGCGGTTCAAAGTCAGACTCCAAGACGCATCCAAGAAAACCTCCAGGCGCAAAGCAAGCTTCCGCAAAACCCAGGAATTTGTGTAAGGAGATCAATGTCTGTCATGAAGATGATACGCAAATTCCAGGAATGCCGCTTTTCTCTGTTTTTTTTTCTCTTCCCCCGTAAAGATCCTTACATGCGGCCGAACAAAACAGTCACCTTCTGCTGCTTTTCTGCTGCTTTTCTGCACTTATGATTGACCCTGAGCTGTCAGTCGCATCTCTTGGTGCACATTGAGTTCTTTGGTGGAATTAACATGAAAGCGTCCGCAATAGCACGAAGGCCGGTAACAACACTATTTTTCGCGTAATTGGGGGGGGGGGGCAGGGGTCTAACAGAAAGGGGGAACCTGGAAGGCAGCTGACTTCTGGGACGATGCCGCGTCATCTTGGTTTTCCATGCGAGCTCTTCAAAACCCTAGCCCACCGCGCGCCTGAGTCGCCTGGGTGTAAACCACACCTCGCTTCGGACTCGCTGACTCGCTCGAGGCCCGAGTCCCGGGTACCGAGGCCCGAGGCCCGAGTGAGTCGAAAGCACACGGATCCAGTTCAAATTTTCGGGTCTGACAAGCATACTGAAACGACCTCTATTGGCGCCTAATTGGCTGGCTACCTGCAAAGTGATTTCAGTTCCAGACTTCAGCCGACTCTGTTGTAGGAGCCAGAGGTTCACAGCCACAAACCAATCCCAGGGACCGGGACCCAATACGCCAAACACAAACAACAACGAAGCACCACAGCAAAACGCGATACACCACGTTCAAACAGAAACGGCGCATTGAATCCTCGCAGTTACATCCATTGGCCCAAACAACCCTTCCGTCGGGGGTGATGTGATTTTCTGTGTGCTCCCCTAAGCCGAACAGCTTTCATTGGGCAGCGTTCTTTTCTTCTGACCTGTTGGATTAAGGCTGTTCCCACAAGGTGCGCTCTAAGGAGACACCCCGTATTGATCAAGCAGGGTTTGCCAGTCCTGAGCAGAAGCAAATCCATAGAGTGCAGGTGGAGGTGGTTTCTGCGGGCTTTGGGTATGGAAGCATATTTATTTGCCAAGGGGACGCAAAGGTACCTTCCAAGGGGCCAAGTGGGGTTCAGTTCCTAGATTCACACATGGCATTCGGCAAAAAATGGCAATGCCTTGTGGGAGTCTAGCCGGGGCTCGCATCCGGCAAACCAGAACTCAATCTTACCCCTTAAAACTCCAAGCCCTGGGGAAGTTAATCTTTTACAAACACATAGCCTGTTACCCAAAAAGTTGAAAAGTTGTGTTTTTAAGAGGTAAGGAATGCATGACCTGACTGCATTCTGAGCGCCCACTGGTGCGATGCGGAACTCCATGTGGTGCCTGACGAGGGCCAGGCAAGGCAAAGGGATCTTCAAGTCCCCCGGTGGATTCCCAAGACGTTGAGGCGCCCGGAAGTGGCTTGGTATCTGAAACTCACAACTGGTACTACCGCTTGCCGAAGACAAACGCCGCTGTGCTTGTGAATCGAAACTGAGGTTCATTCCGCACTCCCCCGGCAATGGCCAGTGATTTCAGTTGGTTCTTGTTTCAAACGCGCGCGCAAAAAGAAGGATGGCTGGTGCATCAGTTTCTCACCATAGGCAGAATCCATTGAACCTGGAGCCTCAAGCTAGCCTTGACGCTAGATATCTGTACGATAGTCTCCGGCAAATTGACATGGAACTCGGAAAGGGGCGATTTTTTCTGGAAAGAAGACATGTCACTGAAACTGGAGGTGTTTGCTTGCTTAACTTTACAATTGAACCCTGACAAGAGATTGTCCTGGGGTAGCCACAGAACAACAATCACCATGAGAGGTGCAACCGTCATGTTAGGCATCGTTGGGGATGGCTCCAGGGAGAAAAGGCCACACGACCACAAGTAAGGCGAAGTTAGGAGCTTGTCTAGTTTCTGCTGTGGCTTGGTGTGGCATGTAAGGGGTAGCTTCCCATTTACCTTCAACAAGACCAGGGGCTCAAATCCCTAAACCAATAATCAATCCAAACCACCAAATGAAGGGAACCTGATACAAGGCAAATCCTGATCTTTGAGCTCTCCCTCTCAGATTCATGTGGCACGGAGACGCCAGAACCCTTCCGAAGGCCGTGCCTGTTCCCACGCCCGAACTGATCGAGCTTGTGGTCGCAGTCGCAGTCTTCTTCGCCTCAGCTCGGGCGGAAGAACGCATCCGACAACCCTGCGAAACAACAAAGGGAACCGAACCAAAACCGCGTTTTCCGGAACGGCCTTTTGAGTCCTCTTGGTATTTAAAAATTTGGCTTCAACTCTGACTTCCACGAAAGCAGTGAAATGGGGAACGCCTTGGGCTTCCCCCCCCCAAACTTCAGCTCGGGCCACAAGCTTTCGTTGGCCTCCGAAAAGGAAAAAACACTGATGCCCATTTGCTGCCGGCAAAAACCACGGGCTGGATCCGCTCGGTTCGCTTGGACTTCCGGTTGGTGGATCGATCCGGGGAAACACGCTCGGCCCTAACCCCCTTCCTTCCCCCCATAAGGCTTGAATGGGTAGACGTTTTCCACGTGTCGGGCTGCATTGCCAGCACCGGCCTCTCAACTCTGTGGCAGTTGGGAAGGCTCAGGTCGGTTTGGCTCGGCCCAGGGCTCCTAAATCCAGTTTGCTGTTCAAGGGTCTCGGAGCTGATTTGAGCTGCGGCAGGTTTGTGGCTTTAGGCTTGCTTTATAGGGATGTGGTTGCGTGAGTTCGGGCGGGCTGGGTTTCCCCCAATCATGTTGGCCAAAATAGAGCTGTGGGGAATACGCCACAGGCGTCATGCTGGATTCAAATTTCAGAATCCAAGCGGCTCATTCGGGTCATGCGGGAATAGGCCTTGGATCGGCAAAGAGTCAGCTTGAACTTCCGACCAAGAACTAAACTATGCACACTTTGCACACTTTGCACACTTTGCACACCGACACAAACAAACGAACGAACGAACAACCAAACGAAGAACCTGTTTGCTGGGGTGCAGCCTAGTCGCAACCTGGGGATTCGCAAGCATGACGATCTTGCAAGGGGTTCCGCTTAGCATTGGGAACGCAAAACCCCAAGATCCACAATGATGTGGTTCCTCTCTTCAGCTGACCAGTCAAGCCTGCTTTGTTCATACAACATTCAGAGAGAAGGGCGCAGAATACACTCTTCCACCCACTAAAATAGAACCTGGCACGGAGACCCCCTCAGGACAAATTGCGTTGGAAGGCCCCGCGGGTTCGAGCAATGCCGGGGCAGTGTTTAAGTGACACCTAGTACAAGTGAACCATTCTGAACCAACCAAACAGCTCCTCAAGCGAGAAAACACCTCGTTCATGATGCCCCCCTGCCCCTCTTCGCTCCTCATATTACGTGAGTTAAATAACGGGAACGCTTGGACAGCATATGACTTCTTGTCCCCCAACCCACGTGTGAAGGAAATTCCCTACTGCAACTCACCAGACCCTCAATGGCCACGGATCTATGCCGAAGACTCATTTACTCACTTCGGAGCAGAGGGCTTCGCTTACCAAAATTGTCTTCCCAAAAGCTCAAAAAGTCCACTCCGGGAGCGAGTTTAAACATATTTGGCCTTGTCCCCATCAATTTGGAGAGAATGGACAGCTAGTGGCCGCCCAAAGCCTTAAGCCCCCCCCCTCAGGGATTCTTGAAAGGGGCGGGACTTGCTGAAAGTCCCTGGATGTGCCTGGTGAAAATATTGGTGTGTCTCAGAGTAGCCATGTTCTTGATGATTTGACCATGAAACAAAAACAAACACCAACCAACTGGAGACAACTACTCCTGGTCTGAGCAACGGCCATCTGTTTTCCAATCGGAAGTGGACGTGTTGGGGTTGCTTCAAGAGGACAGTGATCTTCCAAAGCCTCTGATGCGCTTTCATGGTTGTAAAGAGGGACCAACACTCCAACCCTTGACACCCCCAAACCTCGCTCTCAACCCCCCCCCCCCGCATCTCCAAACTCACTGAAAACCCTCGCCGATGTCGCCTCCCAGCCCCAAGCGCATCACCCTTATGGCTTGCCCGGCCACATGCAGGACTTGCACAATGCGAAAGGCCGGCACCTTAGAGGCGGGAGTGGCCCTCCTCGGGCCTAAAAGTTCAAGATGATCCCCTTTTGTCGCTGGATAGGCCCAGGAGAAGCCAAGGAGACCGTAAGCCCGTCTTAAAGGTCCATGATTTTGACCACCATTGGAAAGCCAAAGGGAGGCAAGCGTGCAAGCCAGGTCGGACCTTCCTGATTCAAAAAGACGTTGAACACATAGGATGCGCAAACCCCTGCTTGATTTTGATCGGCTAGAAAAGGTTCGAATTGGCTTATAGAGATTGTCAACCAAGCAAAAGTCAAAGGTTAGCCTATACTGGAGCCCCTAACAAAAGACCGTCGTTTTCTTTAGTCCATCTTAATGATTGACCAGATTGAAACCAGTCAGGACACGTGTGCTCACCAAAGGTGTTTGTTTGCACTTAACTCAAAAGGAACACATTCTCGACAAAAAGGAGGCAGGACATGCTTTTTCGTTGATTTCCCTTCGAACCAACCCCAACAAGGCTTACCCTCAACAACAGGACACACCACGTTGCTCAGCGTTCAACCCCGTTGATCCTAACATACTGTGGATGGACGAAAGCCTGCACCACTTTGAAACCATGAGAAACCTGCCTTTTGGGTATTTACAGGGGTGTCATTCTTCCAGGGATTCTGAACGGTGATGCAAATGGACTGTCCATCCACAGTACCACCCCTCGCAGGCTTCGAACTTCGAGCAAAGGGCCGCGTAATTCAGGTTCTGGGCCGACTTGGAGGCAGAGGAGGCAAAGTTCACGCCCACCACGGTGTCCAAAATCGCGTTGGACATGCCCTCGCTGCGGGCAGGGGAAACCGAGAACCCCACGGCCAAACAAAGGGTTCACAAATAGTTGCACTTCCTGGAAGGCCAAAATTCATGAAGTCCATTGCTTACCCTCTCTCCAACAATCATGAAAGCTGACAGGAGGGTGTTGGAAGACTAGTTGATTGTTGGGCGACCCCCCGATCGTCCGCTTCCATGATGGTTGCAAAGCTGGTACAGCATGTCGACCCGGATTGAACATCCCTGGTTGATTGCAGGGACTCCCCCCAATTGTCCGGACCCGCCAAATCAACAACGAGGACATGTGGCCCTGCACCAGTTGGTAGTATGGGTTTTACCCATCCCCAACTGCCACGTGTTGTGGCCCACAGTATCAGGACACAGATCATGTTTACCATCGTTTGGCTGGAAACCACGCTTTCTTGCTCTACGTTCTCCTTTGGCAGTACACTCGCTGTGGCCTTTTTGCCCACCTTTGGCGTTGCTTCTGTCCTGCCGAAGCCATTCCCCGCCTCCTCACTGCGGGGCTCGGAGCGCATGAGACGATCTCGGAAGACCAGCAGTGGGCCCCCGCTGTTGCCCGGGCTGATTGGGGCGGTGCCTTACGAGTCGCTCGGAGCGGCGAAGCTCGAAACGCCTGTTCCAGGCCTGGGGTGTGAACTGGGAAGGGCAATGTATGGGTTGAAAATGGGATCATTCTCAGTTGCCCAGTTTGGACGAAATACCAGCAACCTTTTGGAACCTGAACTAAGAACGGGAACCCAAAATTGGGAAACTAAAAGCTCCTTTCAGGTCGATTTGCCTTGAACAACTGAGTCTAACATTGGTATTGGCGTTAAACGGGGGGTCTATGCATCCCCGTCTGGGTCAATTGCAAAGGCCTTCTACCGGTCTAGGACATTACTTTCCCCAAATCGCAAAACAAGTTTCGGACTCAGAAGTAGCTTTGGAAACCCCACATGGCCCAATTTTCGAGGCCAGGTCAAAGTGCGTTTTTCTTTACAGGCACTGGCACCCGCCTTGTAAGCGGAGCAAAGCGGCTTGCCGAGCCACTCTGGTAGACCATGTTGTCTTCAACAACCTGAAGGTCGAACCCCGACTCAACCCCTAGCCCCTCAAAAGCCGCATTTTGAGAAGAACGCGGCGGGGGGGGGGGGGCGGGAGAAAGAGAAGCAACAAGGAGGAGTGGATCTTCCACATAGATTGGAACCTGTTGCAGGCATCGAGAAAAGGAGACTAACTTGACCTGAGGAAACGTGGACTTTGACTTGGGTGAAGACCTTATCTTTGCAGGCCCCGTCGAGAAGTAAAGGACACTTCAAAAGGGACCTAAGGGAAAGGGCGCTTTAAGTGGAAACTTCATCTTTTTGCAAGATACTGCCCACCAAGCGCGGCTGATGTAAATTTCAGGCGTTGTGCTCATTCAAAGCCAGCTTGCCTAAACGCCACACTTGGTGTGTCCCGGCTCAACGGGAACCAAGCATGCGGCTGGGAAACACACCGGCTTTACTTCTTCTGAACCATGTACTTGCTATGATACTTGCTATGATTCACCAACTGGAAGATGGTGAATCTCAAAATGCCGGACCTTCATCAGGGGCAGTGACCTCGCCTTACCAAGAGAAGCTCGCCAGAATTGCGCAGTTCGCCGTGATCAAAGAGAAACCTGCAAAACACACAACAAAGAAAACAACAAGAACAAAACAAGTGATACCCAGACCAAAAATTAAGCTCAAGTGACACAGCCCCGGAAGCCCTTGCGGAACCCGAGCCTGGAGCCGCTCCGAACCACCCCAGTGAGTTTTTTGGGGCCGAGACCCCAAAGCAGGTGCCACTGGCAACGGTGTCCGCCGTGAAAAGTCTCAACCATTGACTTCCATTTCATGGAGTCCCCTGGAGAAAAAAACAAGTAGTGATAGATTCCCTTTTAAAACCAGCAAGGGGGAGAAAAAAAAAAAGCAAAATAATAATTAAAAAAAAAACATCTCTTTAAAACCAACAAGGGGGAGAAAAACATTTAAAAAAAAACAAAAAACGTAGTCTCGAGCAGTGGAAGGCTCTCATACCCGGAGCTTTCTCCCTGCCTCTGCCCCAGAGACCACCCCTTCACTCAGCTTCAGCCATTGGCTGCCTGGCGGCAAGTGGCCTTTGACCAGCTCTATGGAGCCATAGTGACTGGCAGCCACACATACTTGTATATGTACATATAGATATCTATATATATATATATAATATTACTTATATACATACACACATAGACTGCTATAAACCATACAAGCCTAAAATGGAGGGGCTGACAAATTGAACATCTGTCCACGGTTCCCTATGCCAACCTCTGAATTCCTTGCTGTTTGGTGGGTTCCTGGCTGAAATGGATCCACCCAAGTGTATGTCTCCAACTATGTTTTTTCTCTTTCCAAACGGGGTAGTGGTTGCAACGGGTCATTTGCATCATATGGATTTATATCGCAAACGCGTGTTGGGGGGTGTTGGCCCATCCATGCAAATTCATTGCCATTGGTCATGTCAATGGTCTGCAGAAGTGGCACCAAACGGCATGGACCATACCCCCCGGCTGATGAATACATGGGATCAAGCCCCATGATTTGACGTCGCAAGTGCAGCAACCTCATCTGAGGTGCCACCTCCGGCTACAGTAAGACTATTGTAGGCCATGGGGGCTGGGGACAAAACAAACATGCTTGATGTTTGAGCTTGATGTTTGACGCTTAAACGGCGCTGGAATGAAGGACGTATAACGTCGGGCCTGTAAGTCCGTCCACGTTATTGCCATGGTTCGGGAAACAAACAACGGCTCTGGCGATGTACTGGCAGCAAACTGTCCGGAAATTATGGAACCATGTGAAGGAAATCCTGACAAATCAAGCTGGACAGCCGGGTGATGTTCTTCGAGAGAACTCGGATGATCCCTCCAAACTCATCCGTGTAGGGGGGGAAAAGACTGAGGGCAAAATGCTGGTGAGCCTCCTGGTGAGAATGTTTAGTGATAGAGAGACGCTTTAGCGACTTTAGTGACTGCTTCTAGAGATTTCTAGAGGGTAGGCCACAGGCATTCCAATTCCTTTGTTCACTTTTATTGCACCCCACCAATCCGCATAGAAGTGCCCAAAGCAAGCTCTTGTTTCAAGATTGTGATCCTTTCGGACAGTGCCTACGCACTGTTGCATGCTTGGTGGGGGTACTTACCCCGCTATTCTGGAAAGGCCAATGCCCGCAAACAACAAACACGGCACAAACAAACGCCAAACAACAAACAAGCGGCTCCTCAGTTGCCCAAAGGACCTGGAACTAAAAGGTTCAGCTTTTGGAACCTTGACTTAAAAAAATGAATCAACGTGGCAAAACCAAACGGTCATTTCAGGTCGATTCGCTTTGCACAACTAAGCGGCTTCGTAAACAATAAGAAACAAACAACCCGGACCGCGAACAGAAAGAAAATAAAAAGAAAAACTGAGCTCCCCGAACGCCCCATAAATCGCCCGTACTAAACAACCCCCCTACCTACCCCCCCCCCCCCCAGGGAAAAAACAAAAAAACATGCGCGAACGCCCCCCCGAACTCGCCTAGTGGAAAGCCCAGGGCTGCCACTCGCATGCCCATCTTCACATTCTGCGCCTGAAGCTTCAACCTCGGGACTCCGTTTCCGTTTCAGGCGGAAAGCGAGGCTCTGCCCAGCACAGCTCAGCGATTTTTCTGGTGGTGTTGGAGTAAGGGTCTTACTTGAAGGAAGGGATACTTTTGGGAAGTGTGTTAATATCAGAAGCGCTTGACAGGCGATCAGTATACGCAAAAGCCCTTGCAGCTCGAGTGGCTAGTGACTGAAGGTGGCTACCATCAATCCGCCCCGCAGGAGGCATTGGAACTCATTCGCTGCATTGCTCGTACTGTATACGGGCCTTATATACGAGGCAAACAAATGTTTGAATATACAGCAGGGGCACCCTTTTCCTCGGCACCTGCAAACCACCATTGGTCCACTCCTGGGTCACGCTTTTGGGATCAGAAAAAGACTCACCGCCTGGACCCATGAAGTGCGGGAAAGGCTTTGGTCCGAAAAAGAAAAAACGGCTGGAGCAGGCTGGGATTACTGGTTTTACCTCAAAGCACGAAGAGTGCCTGAAAAACGACTTGGCGCCCTCCCGTTTACAGCAAAGCCCGGGTTAGGGACGCGTCCGATGTCGATGGGCGCAATTCAAGTTCACAAAAGACCCAAGAGACACGCCCAATGGATCCGTGGACATAGAAAAACGGGAATTTGGTCGATTTGTGAAGGGAACCCCTTCTCAGTTGCCCAAAGGACCCACAAATGTAAAACACACACATTTTGAGGCCATGATTAAACATGGGCAACAAATGGGAAACCGAAGGTCGGCTTTGGGCAAGTGAGCCTTGCAAACAAAGGCAAAAAGGCCACCACTGTGGCTGTAGGCCAGGTATATAGGCATCTGGCCTATGGATATTTGCGTTTGCCTTTTCAGACCCTCTTCCAGCACCCGAACCGGGAAGCCCTCCAAATCTGTCCAGGGGAGACACTGAAGCCACAAGATCGGACACCTCCCTCTCCCCCCGAGGCCCCGCGTCTAAAGGCCTTACGAAAAAGTGGAAATATCCGGTTTTGCACCAGAAATCGAATCGCCGATTTGGTTTTTGTGGTGAAAAAGGGGGATCCTACTTGGATGAATTCAACAGACCCCCAAAAACACACACCGCGGTGACTCGGCAAGGCTTCAAGGCGCAGGGAAAGCGTGACGTTCGCCTTCTTAAGCTTCTCCTTGAGCTCCAAGGGATCCTTCAACTTGACGATCCTGGCATCCGAGTCTGTCGCTAGGTCCTCCAGTAGAGAGGTTAGAATAAGGGTACCCGATTCTTTCTCTGTAGTCTAATTTAGTAGGGGAACCCTCCCCCAAACAAGGGGTGAGAAAGGGCACTACTGGGGGACCTAGGTCGGTTTTTTTGGCGCTGGGAGACCAAAAGGAAGACACCCGTCTGGCTGCTTGCGTTAGCGCCCGAGCGTTTGGACCATGTTCCACATGGTTGTGCTATAGGTATGTTGTCTTGGTTGCTGTTGACCCCCCTGCAAAAAGTTTAACTTGTTGGGGGTTTAGTGGAAAGCACCTCTATTTCAACCGAAAAGTTAAAGTCTAAAGATCCGTTGCCCAATAGCAGTCAAGTTGTCGGCCCGCTGGTGTTTTCGGCCGAAGCGCGAGGCCAAAGGGCCAACCAGATCCACTTCTGAAACATCTTGCCATCGGTGCGACTGGCAGGGAATGAGCCCCAAAGAAAGAACCGAGTTGGCTTCCGTTAAGGGAACCCCCGAAACCGGTTCATTCCCAACACCCGGTGAAGGTCATGCCCTATCGGATTCGCCAGCAAGCTAAGGCTTGACTCTACTCGGTTGCGAAATCTGCTCCCCTGCTAAAAGTATAACTTTCAGTGGTTTGATGGAAAACTCATCAGTTGGCAAAAAGTTAAAGTCCTAACATCAGAGCAAAATGCACCAAAGCCTAGAGGACATGCTTCGCGCTGCATCTCCCCCAAGTTTCGCCCCATTTCGCCGCCCAGCGTCGCCAAGTCGAACTGGAAGCAAATGACGGGCGCCGTGGCATCCTGAATCGCAAGGCCACGCCTTTGCATCTCTCAGTAGTGAGTTGCCCAAAAAAAGAACTCGACAAAAATGCATTTTGGCTAGGTTCTCCAGATTTGAGAGGTTAGAATAACAGTGCCCGATTTTGGCTCAGGTCTATTTTAGTGGGGGAGCCTCCCCCAAAAAGAAGCGGTAAAAGGGCACCTAGCTGGGGGACCGAGTTGGTTGCCACTAAAACGGGACCGTTTTACAAAGTGTGAAGTCCATGGAGCTGTGACAGAAGATCCCACAGGAATGAGCGAGCCACTTTCTTGGTTGCTGCAGCGACCCCTGCAAAAAAAAACACTTTTTAGGGGTTTCGTGGAAAACCCAACTTTCTTTCAGCCAAAAAGTTCAAGTCTAAAAATCCGTTGCCCAATAGCAGTCAGGCTTTGGAGCCACCTCTTCCATGTCCTTGAGCTCAGGTCAGTAGCTCCGAAAGGCTCCTCTCTATAATAATCAGATTTGGATACCCCCATCTCGGCTCCCTCCCAACCACCAAATGTGGCTGTGGGTCAAAACCAATGGTGCCATTTTGGGGTAGGTGCACCAACAATTTTAGTCTATTTTAGTGGGGATTGGGATGTTCACTGGGGGTACAGGATTTTCACCCATGGCCATGTGTTTTCAAGGGTCTTCAGTGGCCTGAGGGCAGAAACAATTCACCAACCCGAACCGAGCAACTCCGGGATCATCATGGCAGCTTCCCAGCTGACTTTTCGAGTGGGGGGAAATTTCAACTAAGGCCACTACGAGGGCCAATTACCAGCAATCCAAACCACCAAAGCGTGCCCTGATGAATTAACATAATAACCCGATTCATTTCAGGGGCATTCCTCACCCGGATCCTTTCATGTTTGGCAAGTGGGCACAGTTTCGAAAACTAAAAACCGACAAGAGTAGCGTAGCAACACTTGTGTTGGCCTCAGACTCGTTGCAAGTTTGAGCATGTTGTTTGTCCAAAGTTTGCGAGGCTAAAGGTCACTCTAAAGGCCACTAAGCAATACAACTGACCTCTTTTCATTTCTAGATGGCAACACGCGTTCAGGCAGTAAGAACATTGCCCAAGGCACTTGGACTTGAAAGACTGAAAGTCTTGGAGCCTTGGCCTGTCAGGATCCTGGCCATTAACTACAGGAGATCAGTTAAAGTCTCCGTGTTGGTTTCCAGGTGGGTGGATGTCGATGGGAGGTCGTCGGTTCATTCGGACAACCCGCCTTACACCCCAAGCGGTGCAAAGGGGTCCCCGAAGCCAGACAAAAAAACCAAAAAAACACATGCTGTCCAGAAGCAATGCCGCCATCGCATCCCCCCGGCCAAAACCACTGCAAAGGTGTTTAGAGGCATTGTATTTGGCCAAGCACTTTTGTGCCCTCTTTATGCGGGACTGTCTTGCCAACAGGTGTTTGGACTGCTTCTTTGCAAGTTGTGAACTCTTGTGTTTGGTGGCTGGGTGTCCTCTAATCGAACCTCAACACGATGCCTATGTTGCATGGCTTGTCCAATGAGTTCTGCACATGTGCCATCACCTATCTGCGGATATATTCCTCTTTTCAGGGATATGTTTTTCAGGAAGCCACCAAAGACAGGAAAGCGGCAACTAGTTGAAAGGCATGATGCTGGAACAGAATGGGGAATTGGCCCATGAAATGTGACGGAAGATGGCAAGGAGGGAGACCAGTTCTTCCAAAACCAGATTCTATGCCTAGCCTGGCCCAGGCACTTAGAGAGCACATGTGAGTCATAATCAAAACCCGGTATCAAAATGGTCTACCCAGAACCATGTAAAGAACTAAGAAGGCGGCCGCAGCTATTTAAGGTTGGGATTATCCCTTACTAACCTTCATCTACCCAGGTTTTGATTGTGGCTCATGTGGGGCATCCCTCGAATATCTGTTGCGATGGTTGGGTTTTGCGCCTTTCCTCCCAACTTTGTCAAACAGTAAACAACTCGTCTCATCGAATCTCAACCTTTGATCCATTCGGAGAACCGTACTTGTCGGACCCTCTTGCTGGGTGCACAATAGCCCAGCTGTTCTTAGGGAACCAAAGTGCATGTTGTTGTTTGCTTTAAGGGGAAATATATATATATATATATATTATTATTAACTATACTTGGTTGACGTTGGAAGGGGAGCAAAACATTAAATTTTGGCAGTTCAGTGGGGATTTCCCACTAAACCACAAGAAGCAAAAATGCAACATGCTTCCCAACAACCATGCATAAGCCGCTGCCTGAAGTCAGCAAATCCCCTGGGGCCATGGCGAACAAGTGCCGGCCCAAGGAGGGAAACTGCACCCGCACCTGGCATGGCGATCGGTCCATTTGTTTTTTTGTTCGATGGAACCTTGGCACGATACTATGGATCCAACAAGCTTATTTGGATATTCAAACGCCCTTAAACAAAGGAGTTTACGCAATATTGTGACTCACTTTTAAGGGTACTGTGAGGGTCCGACGGCCCAGGTAGGCCTTTTCTCCCCAGCCTGATCTGATGGATCACCTTTTGATGCGTATTTAAAGGGGCACCTACAGCAATTTTGTTTTCCTCTATAGGACACCTACAGAAGGTGGACCTCTATTTTCAGGAAATGGGTCCTTATTTTGAGAAACCCAACCGTTCCCCTGGAGTTTGGAGATGGAGTAGGCATCAGAAAATCAGGCATGGGCCCGTGGGGTCGGGGCATTTTTAGAGTAAGCCCTTCTTGGCGGGTTGGCCAAGGCTGTAGATTTCAAGACCAGATTGCAATTTTTACACATTGTGTCAGCGGCCGGCCAAGCTAGAACAACAGAAAGAAATAGCCAAGCCTTTAGATTTGGAGCCCGGATTGCAATTTTTACATTGCCCCACACGAACAGTTTATCAGCGGCCGGCCAAGCCCAGATCCAGGATTTCGAGAAGGAAAGAAGCAAGTGGCCGTGTGAAAAGCAAGAAATGGCTAAGGCTTTAGATTTAGAGCCCGGATAGATCCATATGACATGTCTAGCCTTTAGGAACCCTTTCAAAAGCCAAGGGGGCAACTGGTGTAGCTGGTGCCTGCAATACGTGGAGCCCACGATTTGTCACGCAAATTCTTGGCCAAACTGCTTTGCTGTTGCTGGTTGAAAGGAAAATGAAGGAACAATCAAAAGGGCAACAAGGATAGTTGAAGTTTGGCAACGCGTGGGCATGACCACTCCCCATGGCAAAGCCCCTTCTCGCTCTACTACTACTACTACTACTACTACTACTACTACTACTACTACTACTACGACTACGACTACGACTACGACTACGACTGCGACTACGACTACTACTACTACTACTGCTACCACTACTAATACTACCACTACGAATGCTGGCAATGCTAACGCTGCTTGTCCACGACGACAACGCCGACGGATTACGACTTCTAATATAACCAGCGACGACTGCTACTGCTGCTCAAACCAGGAACCCTTCAAAACGTAGCATACCAACCCCTACATGCTTGAGTGTGTCTTCAACATTGGTGTGGGAGAGGGAAGCGCAACTTCCCCCAAGAGACAAGTCCAAGTTCTAGCCCCCAAAACCCACCCCCCTAAATGCGAGTCTTAGGTTTCCACTTGCAGCACCCCCAGGGCGAAATAGGGCAACTGGGTTTCTGGCCGCTCTATTGAGAAAGGCCTTCAGTCACCCGGTTCTCACAAGACACCGCCACGTTGCCATTCACTGATCGTAGTTTGGCCTAGTTGCCTCAAAAGGGAACCTGTGTGGGGGTGCTTCATGTTCGTGGACAGGAGGGTGCTTTTCTCCCTGGTTTCAAAGGGAATCCTCCAAGGAAAGGGAATCCGACGCCGGTCTAAGCTTGCACGTACGAGCTGCCTCGCCTTCTCAGATCCGCGGACAACGTGGGCATTGGTAACGATCCTCAGGCTAGTCTATTTTAGTAGGGGAACCCTCCCGCAAAAACGGATAAAAGAGCACTACTGGGGGACCTAGAAATAGATAGAACGGGAATATGATCACCTCACTTCCAATCGAGTGGATGGGCCAAAAACAGAAACCGATGTGCTTCAATTGGCCAACATGGTGCGAACCGGAAAAGTGACCAAGGTCCAGGAACTCAGGGAATGAGCCTTAATGGGGGGGGATTGTGTTTTTGCAGAGGGTTCGGACCCCCCCAAAATCGTGTTTCCCGATGCAAGAAACAACAACACTCTGAGGTTAGAAATCACCTTTGATATGCTTCAAAAGGGCCAGGTTTCAAATCTCCAAGCCAATCCTAACCTATTAAAATGTTGGGTGGGACCCGAAAAATGCTAAGCTGCTCCCCAGGTTGGACAAATTAATCATGCCTTACTATTCATCCCTAAGGAACCATCTCCCGCTAGGAAATCCAACAACATGAGCACTACAAGTTAAAATGAAAATGCAAGCCATTGCCAATGCTTACTCCAATGCTGCGTATTGTCCTCCACAGTTCCAATGATGGCCACGGAACAATTTTGGCAAAAAGACTCATAAACAGCAACAGCATCGATTACTGCAGTTTGCGGAAACAACGCACAAAGTCTACCACCAATACGCGAGCTTTGAGTCACTTCTGCCACAGAGCCTCCCCTTGGACAGAGAATCGAACAACACCCCTTGAAGCGAGTTGCGTGTAGTCGTCCTCCGTCTTCATCGTAGTGTTATCATCTACCTGGCAGGCAGCGCCCAACACCCGAGCAAACTTGTGGTTCTACCGAGCTGGTTACAGGCCTTTATAGGCCGTATTAAACATGAAGGGAATAATCATAATAATACTAATAATAACAATAATAAAACATACTAATACGCAGAAAGGTAGTACACTGAAATCGTCGGTTGGGCTTTGCTCCAACGGCCTTGCGTTGGGCCGAAGCTTCGGTGGGAATCTGAGATGGGGCATCGATCAGCATGGCGTTTTCTCACTTCCGCTGTTCGTGGGTTGGCCTTCTGCAAAGTGCAGATACGTGTTGGGTCTCCGCTAATTCATGGCCTGCCCAAGTACAAAGCCCAAGAACCCGAGCGACTTTTCTTAGCTGAATGACTCCCAAGCATCCAACACATGAGCTCGCACCGGGCCCACCCGCACCGGGGCCCATGAGCCCGCCACGGGCTATAGGGCAGAAGCAGGGCAACTTTGGGAAACTTGACTGAACATGAACCGAAACACCATGGCTTTGCGCAAGACTTTGACAGCCATCCCGCGAAACAAACAGGGATTTTGAGGGAATTGCGCGATAGCCCGGGAAAACCTAGATTGCGCACAACATGTTGGACCTCTCCAGAATTCCCAGGGTTTCATGTTGAACCGGGCTTCATGTGAGAGAAGCCCAGATTGTATCCCCAACAGCCCAGGAACCCCCTGGAACCCTCCAGAAACCTCCCTGAAAGCTTCCGCTGTTGGGGTAAAGTTTTTTCTAGCTCTTCCAAGTTGGTCGTCGTTCTTGCGGTCCCTGGAGTAACCTCGTGCTCGTCGACTCCTGCTTTCTGCTTTCAGCCGGGCGGCCAAGAAGCCACTGCCGACAGACTCTTGGATCCCGGCGTCCTGCGCAGGTGACCTGTTCTTACGGCGGCAAGACGAGGGGAATTTCCGAAAGGTTGAATTACGCAAAACGCAACAAGCTGGTTGGCCACGTCAATGTGCAGCCTGCTGCTCAATGGTACTCCCTTCCCACCGTGAATCCCCCCCACAGAAAAAATGGCTCCGTAATATTCAAAGAGACACCCCCTTGGCAGTAAGAAGGGAAACGACGTGACCCCAGTTCCTGACTCTGGGAATGCAAAAAAAAAAGAACCTGGCCCCAAGTAGCAGGCAATTTTACGGGCCAAGATCAACAATGGGTCATGAAAACGGCGGTGCCTTTTTTTCCAAAGAGAATCCTGAGAACCTTCGAGGAACTTAGGCCCCTCCGAAGTGACAAAGGGGTCAGTTGAGCAAAGAAAAAACCAGCAACCAGCTCCAGGAGGTCTGGCTTCGCGTTTTCCGCTTTCGGGCTTCGGTGGAAGTTGGAATCGAGTCTTGGTGGCGAATTCATTGTCGTCTCCACACAGAAATGGCGGTGGGTCAAAAACAGGTGCCCATTATGGAACACTGCTAAACGGAACCCAGGACTAAAACCTGCGGTCCCCTGGTGGTTTAATTTTGACCGACACCCAAATGTGTTGCTGTTGAGTGGGGAACTTAAAACGTCGTTTCTCAAAAAGTTGGATTCGAAAGATCCAAAGAAATAGCCAAGCTAAGAGCCAACAACTTCTTGCGGGCCACCAGCGGGGGTGTCCTCGTAGGGCTTGTCCATGTCGACGCCCCGATCCACAGTGCTAATTCGAACCTCGGGTGAAGGGCAACACTTGTGTCACAGTGCCAGTTGTGTTGCCTGAAGTGCCGGCGAAAAAAATAGGTGTTATTATATTTCATGTTATTCCATGTTGTTTTCATTTATTTGGTTTATGCAAAACAAAACAAAAAAGGTCATGACAGCTGACAGCTTCTGAACAGGGACACAAATGAACAAGCTGACAAACGAACAAAACACAAACCACGCACAAAAAAACAAACACCCATACACGCACCAACCAACCAACCAACCAACCAACCGAGCAAGCAAGCAAGCAAACAAACAAACAAACAAAAAAGACAAACACACAACCTTCCCAACCAAACAACCACGCAACAGCCTTCAGCACATTGACGACTGATTGATTCGTTTGGAGGTTGCGCAAAATCCACTTTGAAGAGTCCAAGTCAATCATAGTGATCGCCTTTGTCTTGCAGCTTAACATTTGTTTCTGCTCAAATGCCTGGTCACTCATTTTGAGTAAGCAACTGGAAGTAGATAACATTACTGTTTCTTCAATTATCACAGTGTCAAACAACATCTTGTCAAACAACAAATTCCAAGGTTGCGCAAGCCCAACAAAGCCCCAACCATGCCGCATGATGCACCCGCACAAAGGCTGAGTGTATGTGTGCATAATTAGTATGCATGTCCATGTTGGGCCCCTTTGGTGGCTGGCATCCCTCGATTCATTTCTCTCTGATTTGATGCCTTATAATCCTGAAAACCGGAAAGTATAGATGCCAAATCTGCGAGGCGGGTGATCAAAGCAAAACCCTTCGACTTCCGTTCGGGAATCATGTGCCTGTCAATCTGCCAGGATATTCGGCCTTTGAGCATTGAGCACCAATGCGCGCCAGGCTGCGATGGAATACTTCAAAGCACCTCAGCGTGCGAAGGGCCTTTCGACTGACACCTTTGTTTGGCTTCCCTTGTGCAGGCCTTGTTTGGGAAGTTTCTTGGCGAGCCAAGGGGGTTGGAATCCTGAACCATGATCCAGTTTCATCCATTGCAAAAACCCAGAAACGAGTGGGGAAACGCGCTGAGGGATGGGCTGCCAGATCGCCTTCAAGTCATCAAGTCCTTTGCCTCTCATGTCCACACATGAAAATTCCCATGTGAGTCACAAAATCACAACATCAATCCCTAGTGGCCCTGGGCTCAAAAGATTATTTTAAAACCATGGGAGAATGAAGAGGCCGGAAGTCCGCGCCGATGCTCGGGATGGTCCCTAGCCGAATCGGTTTTGATCATTCATGTTTCCCACTCTGAGGTGTTATCGAAGGGAAACCAACGGGACGTAACAAGGCACAACCCGTTTCGGCGGCCCCGATTCATGATTCCTGCTCTGTGATCGACAGGCCGAAGGCGCTATAGATAGCGGGGTCCCAAGCTGCGTAGAAGCCTCCCTCGTCCTCTGGACCTCGGTTCAGCACATCCATTTCGGGATTTCCGCTGATGAATATGCCACCAACTTCGCAACTTTCCTGTTTGGAGAAGGCGGCCCCAATCCATTGCCATGTTGAAAAGCCGTCATCCTCCCGCTGGGAACCCATGGAGGTCGACTGACCCCATGTTTCCGGCTGCACCGAACGGCCAACCTCCTTGCGTGGTGGTGTGGATGAGCATCCTCATGCTGATGCTCTACCCTCACTAGATCCATCGTTGTCTGGGTTGCCCGAAGAGGGGACTCCTCAAAAACGGGACCCAACAGAAACTCCCAGAAATCCCAGGCCTTATTGGCCGATATTTGCCCTCTACTGGGATTGGGGGCCTCTTTTCCAAATTCGGCGGACGGTCGATCATCCCCAACTCCAACTGGAAATCATGAGTGAGGCTCGGCCTGCCTGGTTATGTATGGGTGGGCGTTTTATTTTGTGAACCCCCCAAAGCGGCGTCATGTTTGGCTTTCCTGTAAAACCACAAACAAAAGGGTACCCACAAACAAAAGACATACGGAAACCGTTCTATGCCCCCCTTTTATTAAAGGATATCCACGCCCCCCTCCCTGTACTGGAATTAATCTCCTCCCCCTATTAATGAATGACCCCATTAATAATAAATGCAAATCCGGGATTTCCACTCCGCACAATTGATTTTCCATTGCGCCAATACTAAACCAATACTAAAGTCTTGGAATCCTTATTAGGGGGCACTTTTAGCAAGCTTCCAGCCTCACTTTTCAAAAGGTCAATTCCCCAAAAGGTTGCTTCCCCAAAAGCTGGCTTCTCAAAAGGTTGTTCTTGACTCTGTTGTCCCTGGCTGTCCCTGACTCCCTGGCTGGCTGCGTTTGTCACCTGGCTGCTGTCTGTCTGGTCTGGCTGCCTGGGCAGAGCTCTGTCCTGGGTTTGCCCCAACAACCAGTAAACTGGTAAACAAACAGAATGATACATCAAATTTCCTTATTAAACCGCTTACTCGCGGACCTTACAATTCAATCCATTTCCTCCAAATCCTATGTGAACCCTCACATTGTTGGAAAAGCAAAAAACCAACCCCATCTTTAAAAAAAATAAAAATATGTTTTGGTGGATTTATTTATAACAGGGGGGGGGGCCGTATTTATTAATAGGGGGAGCGGAATAGAAGCGGGGATCTAAAGAGCCTCTGTGCAGCTTGGCTGCGGAGCGGAGGTGCGTCGTTCTCGTCTCTGTCGGGATCTGAGAGGGAAGCTGACAAGGCTACCGTAAACCCAGTTGCAACCAGTGGACAGTGGACACGGTAGAAGAAGGGCACCACTTTTCTTTAAAAGGGGGGGGTGACAATTTTGTGTGAGGAATCCGAAGGGAAACGGGTGCCACTGAACAACTGAGAAACGCGACAGGGCGACAACGGTGTTTCTAGCCTAACTTCACCAAGCACAAGTTGAATCCCAAGCGAGGCAACCATCAAACGAGATACGAGACCTGAGCAACTCTCTTCAACCGAAGCCGAAGGACCTAGTTTTGTGAAAGGTGATCACTCGAAATGATTCCCAACACCGAAGCCGCAGGGATTCCCAAACTGTCGCCATGAGCCGCGGCCAAAATTGCTGGTTTCAATCCCCTGACTCTTTTTTCGGGGGCAATTCACCACCATGCCCCCGATGGGCCAAAGACTGCTGAAATATCTTGGCCGAACCTCAGAGAAATTGCCAGGGGGCACAGATTTCTCAGCGGGGGCGTCTGCCAGACTCTGGTATGCTCTTGTTCAAAGGGGGCAGGTTGAGGAGATAAGAAGTGCTAGAGTCAGGGTAAGCAAAGGATCACCAAGCGGGGACCCCCCGCACCAACATGCACCAACACTCCCGACCCCCCCGCACCAACATGCACCAACACTCCCCCCCCCCAAAAAAAAGAGAGATCATGTTGGGGCTGGCAAATCTGGTTGGGCTTAACTAAGGGGGGAGTGTTGGTGGGGCGGTTTCCTTGACGAAATGAGATGGGTTCAAAGGTGACATTGACACAACGATCCAATCGGTTTGCAGCTCCCCGCTGAATCCGGGTGATATTTCTCAACTTCCCTTTGCATCTCACAGTGAAGAAGCAATCCCGTTTACTGCTGACTCGGGAAATGAAACGTGATCCCTAAAGCAAACCACCTCTACCTTCAGAAAAGGCTCACTCATTTGGGCGGCGGTTGTTCAAACCCAGGAAACACATTCGGAGCGCTCTGCTAAATGCTCTGGGTTGTTAATTGTGTGACGTGTCCAACAACCAAAACACCAGCCTGGCATTTGCTTGGTCTCGGGGACTATGGATGGATAGGCCGATACCCAATCACCAAGCATTTTCTTCATTCGAGTCCAGGCAGGAAGGCGCAAGGCGTAATCACAAACCCTTGATGAGACCGTTTCCAAAGGTAAGATTGGGTCCAGGTCCACAAATGATACCTTCCATTTGCTTCAGGCCCCTAGAAAAAAAATCAAATGTTTCCAGGAGTGATCGAATAGCTTCCCTCTAAAAGCAAGAGGGACAATAACACAAATTCTGAAGCAAATGGAAGATACTCGTTGAAGCCAAAAGCACCGATCCGGCCAACCTACGACCTGAAGTGAGGATCCATTTTGCCAAGGACACATTTCAAGAATCGTCCCGCCCCTATGTCAGAAAAAGCCGGGCTGCTCTCAGCCCCGACCAGTCATGAAACACCCACAAAGGAGCCTGTAATTGACAAACTTCTGCCATGCACACGGTACCTAGGTCCTCCAGTAGAGAGGTCAGAATGAGGGTACCCTTTTTTTCTGTAGTCTATCTTAGTAGGGGAACCCTCCCCCCAAACAAGGGGAGAGAAAGGGCAGTACTGGGGGACCCTGCGGTACAGCAAAGCTTCGAAATCAATCCGAAACCCATCCCAAGCTCGAGCTCACCGTCCGATGCCTTCCTGGCGAACTCGGCCATGGCCGCCTCTCCGGAACCCGTAGCCCCACCGAGTCAGTCCCCTACGCTTGGGTGCTGCAACGACCCCCCCCCCCCGCCGCGGAAAAAGCTTAACTCTTTGTGGGCTTAGTAGGAAACCCAACTTGACCTCCACCAAAAAGTGAAAGTCTAAAGATCACGTTGCCCAATAGCAGTCAAGTAAGGACAGAAATCCGGATTCATGCCAGGTGCTTCAGACAAACCCAAGCGATTTGGGGCGCACACCCGTATCTCCAAGAGAGACTAGACATGCAACCAAGCAAACAAGGTCGAGATGGCAACAGGATGGATGAGATCCGCTCGCAAGTGCAGAACTTTGAGACTCAGAAACCCCCCGCAGCTGCAAGGTTACCTCAACGCCGAGGCTGGCTTCGTAGGCTTGCTAGGAGACCAAACGCAACCCTGAAAAGAATGACGTCCCCCCAGGGCGCAAGAGGATCTGGAAACAAACCGGAGGTCCCCTTCCCAGGGATGTTCCCAAGTAGCATCCAAAAAATGTCATGGTTGAATTCTTGGATTTGGATTTTGTGATACTGAAACTGCAAAAGTACTAGGTCCTCCAGTGGAGAGGTTAGAATAAGGGTACCCTTTTTTCTGTAGTCGACTTTAGTAGGGGAACCCTCCCCCCAAACAAGGGGTGAGAAAGGGCAGTACTGGGGGACCTACAGTATGTGATTTGGGGGCGGCAGAGTTCCGCAACCATGGCCACCAGTCCCTCCAATGGGAGAAATCCCGTTCTATTCCCCTATCCTTCACTCTTGACCCACGTGCCCCCCTCCCCCACCAGGGAAACTTAGATGTATGGATGACCCAGTGGGTTCTATGTCAACGGTGCTCAAATAGAGGCTGAGAACTCCCCCCCTCTTGGCTCCATGTTGTGCAAATCATAGCAAACAAATTTGGGGGAAACAAGAAAAAACAAACCTGTTTAAGTTGGGGGACGTTCAAGCCAACATCCTGTTAAGCTCGTCTCTCTACCTCTGTGAGGTCCCCGTGTTCCATATGGCCATGGGTCAAAAGCCCGTACCCCCAGTGAACATCCCAATCCCCACTAAAATAGGTTCTAAAATGGGTGGTGCACCTACCCCCCAAATGGCATCCTATTGGTTTTGACCCACAGCTAGCCGTTGTTCCATGGGGGTGTTCCCCAGCAAAAGTGATAAATCCCCCCTAACACCAGGCACACCCCCATATTAATAAACAGGGGCTTATTAATCCAACCAGGGACACCCCCATATTAATAACCAGGGGTCAACATTATCCGGGGTCAACATTATCTGTGGCCCCGCGCGGTCCATTTTGGCCGCCGTCTTCGACTGCAGTCCGCGGGAGGGCCGCTTCAGGTGGAGCAACTTCCTCGAACTCGAAGCCGCGGATGGATCGATGGGGGGTACCCCGGTTGAAACCGGCCATGTGCGAATAAGGATCCTGGAAAACTTGGGAAACATATGGCTGTGGCTCAAAAAACCGGCCAAAACCTGCGTAACCCCTCCTGTTAAATCTTGAGCCACACCCATGTGTCCAGTGGTGAAATCGATTCCAACTTTAAAACCAAGAAGGGAAAGAAACAGGTATTCACTTCAGCAAATGGAAAGGTTGCGAGAATGTCGACACCCCGAAGCCAAAGTTCCACAAACGCTCAGCTTTCAGAGCCTCTACTTGGTGCCTGGATCGCCAGTGGCGGGTTCTTCGTCCCCAGCTGACTGACTTTGTGAGGTGAGGTGTCTGGAACAAAGCAGCCACTTGCCTATCTAGGTGCTGGGCTGTCCTCAGATCCCCCGCTAAAAGTGAATCACTTTTAGTGGGTTAGATGGAACCCCCCACTAAACACTAAAAGGCTAAAAAGCTAAGGGGATGGCTGGGAACCACCAAGGGTGCTTTGGCAATGTGGTGGTTTGCAAACCAAACGCTCTAGAACCATGGGTTCCAATTCCACACTTGGTTGCTGTTGATCCCTCTGCGAAAAGTTTAACTCTTTGTCTTAATGGAAAACCCTTGATTTCCCAAAAAGTGAAAGTCTAAAGATCCAACCCAATAGCAGTCAAGCAAAAGGTTGCCTGAAACCTGTAGAGAAACGACGTCAAGATCTGCGGGGTCATCAGCTTTCTTCAGGTCACAGCTGGGCGCTAGCGTCAGGCGAGGGTTCCAAAAGCGAGGGGAAGAGCAGCAGCACGTGCAGTTGACAGCTTGTCACTTCCCAAGATCCCTGCATTTGACCGCTCTCCTTGTCGAGCCGAAAGGAACACTAGGGGAAGAGAACAGGTAATTGTGCGAAACGCCGACCTTTCATGGGCCGTTCTCTTGCTGTACAAGCCCGTATGAGCCATTGATTCGTTCAGGAGTGCCCATGTGTTCTCTTTTCGATTTAACGAGCACCTCGCGCTTGCCATCAAGGTCCCCTAAGAAAGACAAAAAGACAGGCTTCCCACATTTGCGAGAAAACAACCAACAAAAACAGGGCGGGGGAAAGGGTGTATTTGACATGTTGCTGTTTCGATTTCCCTCTGAGGTGAGGCTCACTTCCTGAGCGGATGGCCAACACAGGAAACCAAACTGGTTCAGGAACTCAGGGGTAGTTGTCCTTATTCTAGGGGTTGATTCCCCATTCTGTCAACCATTGTTCTTTTCAAAAACCGGCCTTTTCCCCTGGGTGTTTAATGGCTTCCTGAAAAGAAGGATCCCTGGAAAGAATGGGGAAGGTACCCCTAGACTTGTGGGATTTCTTTCAAGCCAACCCGAAAAGGGTACCAACACCAAACAAAGACACACCCATATTTTGATTAAACAACGAGATACCCCGAGAGCAACCATCACTTGGATGTGTAACATTCAAGCCTGGAGTCATGGCCCATGTTTTAAACATCAGGCCACAGAACGTTTGCACACCTATGGCTAACTCACCGGGTTCCGTTTTAGACTCTCACTTAAGTAAGATGGCTTGGACCAGTTTGGTGGCAACATAACTAATGGAATAGTGGATTCAATCGATATGTGGGTCATTGCGTTTTCAAAGGCGTTGAGATGGTGCCATCGTTGCTGATTGCTATCCCTTTAACGCAGAACTACCAAGTGCATCCGGGGGGCCGGATTCATGATTGACCGCAGGATTGAAACCTCCATTTCGGGGGGTCCAACTTCAAAAAAGAAGAGCGCCCCATATCCTTTTTGGGGCAAAGTCAAGAGACACACGTCCAACCAGAACCCTCCATCTTCCGAACCCCGGGTACGTCTCAGCAACGATGGCTGCACATCCGACGTTTTGCCGAAGCGGACATGGCAACATGATGGATCTCTGCAACTCTCAATAGACCATATGGCTGTGCCTCAAAGAACCGGTGCCAAAATGGAACCCTGGTAAGGCAAGTGGAAACACGGACCAAAACCTGTTCAATTTTGAGCCACACCCATACGCATTTGTGGGCAATGCTCTCCTCAAACAGCAATCCTGCATTGAACCCCCCCTCCGACAAAAAGGCATCAAATCCCCCACCTCTGGCATGCCAGGGTGCTTGTTGGGGCCTTCCCCTTCGTTGTCCTGCCCCGGATCCGGACAAACAAGGGCCACCGAGGATGTGTTTCTCAAGCCCTCCAAATCATTCTTTGAGGTTCTACCTTTTTGTTTACCTTGGATTCAAAGGGAATAAACGGAAAACACAAAATGTTCCCCGCCCAGGTGAGACAAACCAATACACGAGTAAGAGCTTGTCCAGGCCAAAACCCTTTCGGACTCCATTCGGGTCACCGCAGCTTTGTTCTGGTTGGTGTATTCCCCTTGGAGACAAGAACCACATACAGTGGAGTTGGTACCCTTTCAGATAGGCTTTAAGGGAAACGTAAAGGAAAATCCAAATTTTGTGGGGTTCCCCATATTTAGACACACCCAATACATGCCTTTATCTCTGATCGATCCCATGGGCATGTCATGTCTAAGTGGGGTCTCCGGCATGCTGGGATGTGTCGCGAGCTCACCTAGCCGTGTTCTCCCATGGACTTGGGGTGCTGGGGGGAGGGAGAGGGGGGGGGAGGAACCCTCAAAAAACCCGTATTTAGCCCTTATTAAGGGCTTATTTAGGGCTTATTTGGGCTCCCTCCCCCTCCCCTCCCTCCCCAGCCCCTATAACCATCCACTTGGGGAGAAATTCCACAAGGAAACACCACCGCTGGATTCACGACCTGGGCCAATTGAACAAAACTTGGCGGCCCAATACGGGAGATCGCGCAAACAGTTGTTTCCCGTGTGCGAAAGGGTTTGAAACAGAGTTTCGGGATGGATAAAACAGGCCCTAACCCACCAACAAGAAGAGACCACCTTATCCCCCCGGTCCCAAGGGCAAAGCGGTTGCCCTCGGCCGGCACAAACACGAACCAAAAGGGTGCCAGTTGAACAAACAGAAGAATAAGCCCAGCAAGGGCAGACAGCGAGCGGAGGCAGAGCAGCAGCACCAACGCAGGCGAGCGGGCAAAGCACAGCGAGCAAGCAAGCAAACAACACGCACACTACCAAACCCCAATCCGACCTGCTCCACCCAGAAGCCCACCGCAGCTGCGTCAGCCCGCCCTTTTTCAGGTACGGGATGACGTGCCGCGCCGCGGGTTATGAGCGACGAAACAGCAAACGGGGATTGACGCAGTGAAAAGCTTGAGCCAAATACCGCGTTGGGTAATGGCGTACTACAAACTGTTATGACAAAAGTACATGCCCCCAAAAACACCCCCCTCGCCTGTACAATGAGAGGAAGTGAATTTGGAAGGGCGCATTGGCCATATTGAAGTTGAAATGCAACAAACAAGACAAACAAAGCCGATTAGGCTACCAGGGTTCGCGACCCCATACCCGGGCTCGCATTGAAGCCCGGATCCCGCCACCACCCCGAATTACGGGTATGGGGCGGATTCTCGCCGGTAGCCAGATCAAACAAGAGAAAGCAACAACAGAAAAGAACAAAGGATCAACTTCGGAATGGCCGGCATGAAGCCAAAGAATTGTCATTCGCATTGCAACCACATTGAACCATTTGATTCAAGTGGATTTAATTTTTAATTACTAGATTAGGCGCATTGGCCAGTTGGTTGAAACATGGTGCATAGACCAATGAGCTTTGGCTATAAATTAGCACCGTCTAGGCGCGCGATCACTCGAGGACAATCGCCATGGATACCACCAGCAGCGATCCGCGGTTCAGGTCCGAGTAGGACATCACCGGCAGCGGTGCAGGGCACCCGTGATCTTCACCTCGGCACCTTGATGAGCACCATCACCATCAGCAGCAGCGGTGCAGGTGGATGCAGATCACCAGCGGCCATAGAAGCCGCCGAGAGTGACTGCCTTGCTGCGGCGATGCACACCTGACAGGTAATCGCAGCTTGCGCGAATAGCGCACAGCTACGCATGCAGCTGAATTCGGAAACGGCGAATAGCCCAGACAAAGAAATACTACAAGGAGCATAGTCCCTTTTTGTGAATTCCGGAATGAAAGCATGCGCGCTTTGGCGCAGCCATGCAAGACGCATGGACAGACTTCAGGTATCACCGATGTCGTCCACCGCCGTGCCGCCCCTTCCCCTTGTTGACATTCCAGTCCCCAGGGGGAGGAGGCACAGTCTCGGCCAACTCGTCATCGTCACCCCATGTAGGGGTATGCGGCGAGCTCGGATTCTCGAACTCGCGGGGATCACCCTGCATATGCGGCTGCCAACCCTGCGGCATTGCGCCAGGCCACATTTGTGGCATCATGCCAGCCATAGGCTGTTGCATGTATCCTCCCATTGGGAAAGTGGGATACATCGGACTCGGGAACGGGTAAGGGGCAGCCTGTGCACCCTTGTATCCCGACCCGCGAGCATCAGGCTGATACCCGCCAGTGGGAGTTCTCGATCTGGCGGATCCGCCACGACCGAACTGCCCTTGTTGGTAGCCGTATTGGCTACCCTTGCCTTTGTACTGATCACCCTTGTGACCCTTTCCTGGAAACTGGTCACCCTTGTGACCTCCACCCTTGGGCCAGGACTGCGCAGGGGCTTTGCCCTTTTGCTGATCCCCCTTTGACCTGGATTCAGGTCGCGGGGTAGCAGACCGATGATCTCCCCTAGGAGTGGCTGCCCGCCTATGGTGCTTCCCAGTTGGCGGGTCAGCAAAAACAATGGCGCATTGGCCGTCCCGCTGTGCAGCGGGGACCATGTCAACCTTGTTGTCTTCGACATAAATGTATGCCTCAGCATACTCAATCGGGGCCGTGATGGATCCACCACTGGCCCGCAGAGAGTCGATACTCCAATCAAGAACAGTGGAGGCATCGAAACTTGGGTCCTCACTATTGAAGTCCGCGAGGCGTCGCTCAGCCTGAACCAATGACATAATGATGTCCGCGCGTGAGGCGCCTAGGCCATACAGCGGAACCAAATATCCGTCCTCAATTCCGATGCGGTAGGCATCATAAATATGCACAGAGAGGTAAAGGGCAAATGCTGAATTTAGACTGCCCTTTCTCGTCATATGACGACCCCATTGCGCCGCCTGTTGCGGGTGCTCGATCAAATATGTCATGACAGACATATTGTCGGGAATTGGGACGCCAGTATTGCTCTCCTCGATGAGCAGCTGTTTCGCTACCCACCGCTCGAGAGCCTCATCACTCGCACGCACACAAGCGTGAGTGTCCTTCGAGGTGACCTTTGCAACCTCCTGAAACGCAACTTGCACAACATCCGCATTGGGATTGTGCACAAGGTGCGGCGCACAGCGCAAACCGGAGATCATACAGCTGACCACCTCGCGGATCGGGTTTACCGATGCCATGAGAGGAGCCCACACGTCAGTCTCCCCTTCATACCAGCTGCTGGCACGGACTGCCTTGAGTCCGTCTAACCAGACTGGCTGCCCTCTCCTAACATGGGAGCGGACGGTGCCAGGCACCCACTCTCGATAGAAAATCGGCAAATGGCAACCATTGCATAGAATGGTGCCATACATGTTCAAATGCGCGCACCGAGGGCACCAGTAGTCATGCATGGGAGCTTTGTCCCATGAAAATGACACCCCTCTCCGCGGTCCCTGAACATTCAACTCACGGACCGCCCAGGGACGGATGTATATTACATCCCCTTCCTGGTGCAGATAGCACGCGCGCCAGAAGGGTGCATGTATCTCTTCCCGCACGGCAATCAAACCGCGTCGGGTTTTATAGATGCCGGCGGCCTCCCCGATGGCCATCCACTTTAGGTCAACGGCCACAACGACATGGCGCTGGTCCATGTATTTGACGCGATCGTCAACATAAAATTCGCCCTCACTATTGGGGCTTGGCAACTTGAGGAGAGGCACCTTTGCGCCCTCCAACCCAATCGTGATCTCCCCCCTGCAGACCTGCTCAGGTCGCATGGGGAAAACTGTGATGGCGAATTTGCCGGGCCTCCGGATGCACCTCGTTTTGAGGGCGGACCGATACTCGGCCATCGTCAGCAGCACGTATCCCGTATAAGGGACCTCCGCTGCTCCCATCGGCCTAAGCAAAGGCCCCATAGGCGTTCGGTCACGCAGTGCCCAACGCTTGAAAACTTTGAACGGCACGTCCCTCCCGATTAGGGTGGAACGCGCAAAAAGTACCTCATTCGGGCGCACAGTCGTGCCATCTCCCCTCCAGACTGTCCGTATTAGGAGCTCGACTGGAGGGTACGCTGGGTTCTCCTTCGCAAGAGAACCCGCCCAGGTCGCCACCTCGACGCTCGTGCACTTATGGATCCCGTATAGGGCCTCAAAAAGCGTTGAGATTAGAGTCATTGACATCCAACCTCCCAGAATGTCTGGAACCGTCCCACACAAGAAGGGAGCCGGCTCACCGGGCTTCACGTTCAACCGCGTTGGGTCAGTGTTGCCCGACAAAATTTCTAACAGCATTTGCGACTCTCTGGGGCTTCGTCCAACCATCGCCGACACATCCTTAATTTCGGGGAAAAAATGGAAGATGTCGTTACCGGCAGGACAGGCGATTCTGCCTGCTGTCCCGCTCTGTGCATCAAACACAACCTCTTCACCCTCGTATGTGAGGTTGTAGGTGCTCGCAATCGGGCACACATCGGGCTTTGCCATCAGTGCCTCCTCTAGCGACGCACCAGCAGGGAGGACGCCCTGTACGTGCGCTTTGGTACCTATGGGACCAGTCCCCGCCGACATAAGCCACGAAAGTATGGAAAAAGGTTCTTCATCCTCTCAATTTCCTGCTTTGAGGGCACTAGGTCGCGGTCGCCCATTGATGAGAACTTGTCCACATATGGGCCCATCCCATCATCATCTACGTGACTCTCGTGATCCTCATCCGAGACGTACTCCCTGGGCGGCTCGCCCAGAGCATCCAGATCGACCTTACCAAGGTCAACCAACGCCGGAGAATCCAGGATTCTCTGGATCCTCATGAGCTCGTTTCTGAACTGCTCAAAGCCTCCGGCCTTTTCAGTTACGGAGGTCGGCATTGCGCCCTCCCATGATTCTGGAAACATGCACACATTCGTAGGAGAATACTCGTCATCGGAAATATCCCGATCACGCTCCCGTACATCGCTGATCAGTGTCACATCCAACAAGCCGCTTAGGGCCTCAGGACGCGACGCTTTCGCCGGATGCGGCTTTGCGCTCTTTGACGCTACGGCAGCCTCCTTGGCCGCTCTGGTCTTCTTCTCATCGCCCTTACTCCCCTCTTTATCCACATCCATTGCGGACGGCTGTGCGCTCCCCCCTGCCCCGCCCGTTGGCGGTTCAGAGGGTTGGACAGGGGATTCCTTTGTGCGGGCTTTGCCGAAATAATGTCCTGGGATCTGCACGCTCCCAGTGGAGCCACCGCCAGTCTCTCTTGGACGCTTGGCGGTGTGAGCCGACCCAGTATGTACAGCAGGAGCCGATCGCCTAGGAAGGCCCCTACTGACCGACAGAGATGGAGGAGGTGGCTTCACCTTGGGAGCCGGCTCCGCCTTGGGCGCCGGTTCCGGGTCAATTACGCAGGACCTGAGGTCGAAACTTTCAGACCTCAAAAGGCCCGCGCAATAGGAACGGAAGACGTCCTCAACCTCCCGAGCAAGGAACTCGGGATGGTCCTCCTCCCTCGGAGGAGTTCTCCAGTCGTCATATCCATCGAGCAGACTCCTGCCCACGATTTCATTGAATCGATACGTGCCCAAACCGGCATAGCGGTTGGCAGCCCGAAGAACATTACAAAATCTTTCGACCTTTTCGGTCGCCGCAATGGCCGCAGCCATCTGAGGGTGAATATACCCAGTTTCAGTCATGCATCCTGCGGCTTCGCGCAAGCATGACCTCGCACGCCACAGATTCGCGGCGGCCTTGTAAAAGTCGCAGTACTCAACGTTCCACGTTGCGTCCTGCGCGCTGAGCTCATCATCTCCGCTTTGGGAGTCAGGCAGAGTGAGCCCCAAACGGATCTCCCGACCGCGGAATACGTCGGCGGAGATCTGGTTCGAATTCGGCTGATCCTCCAGCGGAGGACGGGGAACATACTGTTTCCCTGGGCCGACACATGACTCATTTGCCGCTTCCCTGTTTGGATGCCCCCTTTCGGTCTGCATCTGGTTAAACCGTGCGACTAGGTCCGACCGAGGGCCAAACGACAATGGCCCAAGGTTATCCTCAGCCCAATCAGCAAGCGCTTTGGCTCCTGCGTGATGAATGTCATCGGCATTCATCGTGTCAGACAGAATGGCCTTTGACAGGAAATCCCAGTCGTATTCGCCGAAACGACGATCAGTTGCTGAAGCATTGTCCAGCAGCTGGAAAAACTGATCCTCTGACAGCCCTTGCCACAGAGTAAGAGCGAGGGCATCCTCTATAGAGTTAGCCTGATTAGGGTAAAGAAGGCGCCTTGGCCAGGCCCCGTTCCTCCACGCCGCCAACGCGGGCGGGTAACCGGCTCTTCGGAACAGGTAATGCACAACGATGCAAGCATCCGCGCTTTCAGCGGGCGCATAATACTCCGACTCCGGGCCAGATTCATGGTCCCCGGGTTCAGACGGATCATCGTCGCCATCGGGCGGATTGGGTCCACCACCTCCACCAGTCCCGCTCCCATCCATAGGATCGTCGCGGCCCGGTAGCTCATCGGCAGGGGAGGTAGGGGAATCTCCCTCCGCCCCATTGCCGTCCCCATCATTGCCGCCACCCGCAGCGCCTTGGCTGGGTGAAGCCCCTTTGGCCCCACCTGCATCCGCCGGTGCGGGCTGTGCATCCTGACCAGCGGGTCTGGATGCTTCGGGATGAGAAGCCATCCCCATCGACGCATCGGTCGACAGGGATGGGGCGCTGTCCTCTGGCTGAGGATTATCCCCACCAGCGACATCTGGAACGCTGCCCCCATGCTTAGGTGACGGCTCTGTCTGGCTAGGCTTCGCCGGCTCAGACAGGCTAGCCGGGGGACTCTTCACTGCCTTCCGCGGCGGAACCTCGGGCCGAGGATGCGTGAAAACACAATTCGCGGGAGCGCAACCCCCCGAACCCCCATCATTCGGTGCGTCAGCGCCTGCCGCTTTAGGCACGGGTGCGCCCGTGACCTCAGGTGCTTTGACCTCGGGTCCTTTGGCACAAGGAGCGGCACCCTTTGGCGGAGGGCCAGCGGCCGAAGATAGGCATGGCAACGATCCTCCCACCTTAGGTGGCACACAGCTGGGACTCCTTGTGGCCCCACCTCTCCATCTGTTAGCGGCTTCGCGCTTGGACAGGGATGGAAAATCATCGGTGTATGCATCCTTGGGAAGCTCGGGAGGATCAGGCTTAATCTGAAGTGGCAGGCTTCAAATCGATTCTGTGGCCGCCAGTCTTAGACGGGCCACCAGTCGTAGTCGGGCTATACCCGCACGCCTGCGCTGGCTTTGCAGGTATCGTTCCTCTCTGGTTGCCACAAACTGCCGGCGAGAGACCGCGACTTGCGGCTAAGTCCTTGCACCGGCCGCGGCAGGCGCTTTGGCCGATGACGCGTGACTTGTGGCGCATTGGCCACTCGACATCGTCCTAGGAGCAGAGATTACCTCCGCCCATGGCGCATCCTCAGATGAGGACCACCGGTCCACCGGTGTGAGGCCTGCTCTGACTCCGCACTGCTTCGCAGCGCTCAGGTATGACTCCGACGGTTTCATCAGATAATCATGTTCTACCATGAAATCCAGAGCGATGGCCAGGGCTTCCCGGACCTCATCACTCATCGAGTACTCTCGCCTCAGCACACATACCAGGTCGGTGAACGCCGAGACAAGACCCATAAACTGGTGTCCGCCTCTTTCGATACCGACAACGCCGCCGTTTAGGCTCTTCTTTGAGCAGCCGAACCACATCGCATTGGATGGGTAGGCTGGGAAACCGGCGTCGCGGCACTTCATGAAAAACGTAGTTGCGACCTCCTGCATGGCTGTTCCATGCCAAACGATACCAGGACCCGACAAGACTATCGTCGGTGCCTGGCTCCGGCCGCCCTTATTGGCGAACCCCTTCATGGCATCGATGTTTTCATCGATGATCCTACCCGCATCGGGGCTGGGACCATACGTGTTTTCGGACTTACGCCATTCGGTCAGCCACAGGCATTTGGTAAAGATGATGAATATATCATCTTTAGCGCCCGCAGGAGCACCTGCATGTACCGGGTCAGCCAGCTTCTGGCTAACCACGGTACGGAGAAGCTCAGCCACTGAGGTCTCCTCTTCAACCTCCACGACCTCCAGCGCGTATTCGCCGGTTTTGGCCGGGAGCTTTGTCCTAATGGTCGTCCACTGCTCCTGAAGCTTTGCTCCAGCAATGGACTGACCCGAGCTGCCGGTAACCCAGTGTGAGGGTCCAACCAGCACCACAACGCGAGATCCCTCTACGCCTATGTAGGAGACCTTGTTTGGAATGCATCCGCTTAGCAGCTCGGCGCATAGGCCAGCCGCAGCGGAGGGGTTGACGTATCCCAGCATTGTGAGAACGAACCCCAAATCGTCCGGCTCCTCGCAGCCGGCGTATTCCATTGCCGTTACGGGCCAAATCATGGAAATAATGTACGTCCGGACATTGAACGCCCATGATTCCCACATCTCCCGCACAAGCTCATAAGGTTGGCGGTCCTGACGATCAGGGTAGATATTACCGCTGATCGCGCTCATGAATTCACTGCATTGAGTGGCTGCGTTGGCAAGCGCCGATAGCGCGTGCTCTGGCGCATGGTACATGAGCTTTGCAGCCCCTGAAAAGGGAAGGCCGCCAGCCAAGGGAAAGAATTTTCCTTCCGAAGCGGGAACATAGTGCTCCCAGGTATCAAACAGCGGGCAGCATCGTACCTCGCCGAGTTCGCGGATCTCCTGAGGAAAGAACTTAAAATCCACCTCACCGCCGGGTTTTGCCGGGGGAACCGACGCCTCACGTGCCACCGACCCGGCGGGAATTTCCGCCCCAATGGTCAACGCTACGCGGTTGGCGCCGTGACGGATCCATCCGACCTCTGCCGAGTGAGGGTTTACCTCAAGCACAGGGTTCCAAAGGTGCGTGGCAGGGTTATGCGAAAGCAAATTCCCCGCCACAGCAGCCGTCCCTTCACCAATCGCTTCTTCTTTGAGAGCGATTGCTTCAACACGAACGCGGAATTGCCTTATCACGCGTTGGTGTGCAGGCCCCTTCTCAGTATGCTTGTACGCCTCGTGGGCGTTCTTACCGAGAGGACGTAGCAAAAGTGCCAGACGGACGGTTACGCCCAGGCCAATATGGCTTAGACAAGAGTAATAACTCTCAAGAAAAACGGGCTTCGTCGATGTCCACACGCCTGTTAGCGTTTCGGCATCTCCGAGCGATGCAACGGCATTCCCATGGCCCAATATGTTCCATAGGGAAGAGAATTGAGTTCCATGAACCCATCTCTCGTGCATGCTGGCTGCATTGAGCTCTGTGCAGTGCCGCATCGGGAACACTAGATACCCGTCGCGCTCAAGCACGGGTTCACCGGCGTGCCAATCCCCGATTTCCTTGCTCGGCATGGTAAGCGGCTTAGCGCGTTTCCATTCAATCAGGTGAAAGATGGTGGGAGCAATCCCCACTTCTTCCGTGAAGAATTCCACAAAATCATCATAGGAGGACCACACGGCCTCAATCTCCTTGCGCATGGATCCTACTTCAAAAGCATGTGCATTGACCGTTTGCATCTTTGCCAGCGCATCGGCTGAGATGCAATAAATTGCCTTCATATACCCGACCACCGCCTTGGGTGGGGTACAAAGGGCAGTGGGACGCTGGTATGCCCAGGCCTTAAACGCCTCCTCGGCTCCCGCCGGCTGTACATTCGAGGGCAAATCTCTCCTACCCTTCTCAACGGCCGACTGCATTGCGCGAATAACATTCTTATTCGCCGCTTGGAGAAAGGTCTGCCAGCGTGACTCAACCTTTGCCATCTCATACAACCAGTTCCCGCCTCGGGGAACCAGTGAAGGGGAAACGGCGGTAGACAATGTCATATCAATCAGCGCGTTCCGAGTCGGCTCGCAGTGGAGCTCCGGCTCTCGCGGCATTGCCTCACAGATGATTATGGCAGCCGTGTAGACGCTTTGGTCACTCAGCTCCACTTCACCCAGAAGCATGGCCTGGAGAATACCAGCCACGCGTAGGCGGCGGTATTTCTTGATAGCCGGGACAAAAGACTTGTCCGCAATCATGCCCGTGTCAAACCCCTCCAGTAGGTTGAAAATGCCGGAAAAAGCACCGACGACTTGAGGGTCTTTGACGCCTTCCTTGACTTGCACCAACTGCGTCTCAGCCGTGGTGCGATTACCGTACTGATTGGACTTTGCCGTCAAGTGCGGGTAGCAAATCCTGAGGTTTTCCGATAGCCGAGTAGGCCTCTCATCAGACAGCGCATTGGCTGCGTTCTTCGCTTCCGCTGGAAGCGGACCCAAGGTGCAGGCGCAGTTCGGGTTCATATAGTCCGCCTGCTGCCGCGCCGCCAAAGACGAACCCCTCGAGCGCGGGGCAGCGCCCGCCGCTCCGCCGGCCGCGGATGCAGCCGCTGCCATGGCGCGAGTTTGCGCCCGGGAAGCGGTAGGATACCACCAAAACAAGATAAACAACGAAGTAACAAACCCCGAGATAAGGGATGCCTCCCACACCCAAAGGTGTGTAAACCTTGGGTGTCAACTACATCAGTACGAAGGGGCAATTTCCCCTGGTGTAGGACCGAATATGGTCATGCCTATGATAAACAGTCGTGCATTGACAACGACCCTGCTACACCACTGCATATGAAACTGCAAGGTTACCCTATGAACATGCCCACCAGGGCGGAAACTGACACAAACACTAACCAGCTAATCGAGGCGAATGTGCCTGAACTAATGTCGCGAATTTGCGTTTGTTAGTGCAGCATGATTAATGCTGTTGTGAATGATGTCCACCAAGCCTACTCAGTTCAAGGCTGTTTGAAGAGCAGCGCGGGTCACATATTTTACAACTAATTCATGCACAAGAGGATCAACACGTGTAGTGCGATACATCCTGTTGCATTTGAAAACTGGGAAAGAGTTCACATGTCGTGAAATGCAAATTAATGTCAATGCATGCACATGATCCTTATTTACAAGACATGAGCAATAGTGTACAACACGGCTATAGCGGTTTACGCCAAGCTTGACAAGAATATCGCGATTAGCAATCCAGGTATTCGGCTGTATGAAAATGCCTACGGAAAACTTCGTGTTCAGCGCGTGCTCAATTAAGTCGTTCAGACATGATTGGCACTGCTCTACCTGCGCGCCTGATCTTGCTCCAATTCCCTCGCGTGGATGCATCGATCAAACTGCTATATCTGCACAACAAAATGTTAGGTCTGGAGCCTTCAATTGTACCCCGTCTAGGGATAACAGGGCAAAGATTGGCCGGTCTAACAAAGTAGGTAAGCCATCTACCAAACTGAGGTTCAGGCGTTATGCCAAGCTCAGAATCGACGAAAATGTTTCGCGTATCGCAAACATTTGATCGATCCTCAACTATGTCAAAAACCATATAGCTGGATTCAGCTAGCTGGATGAATTTGTTGAAAAATGAATTTTGATCGGTTTCCATGCGTACCCCCCTAATTGGGGGGAGAACAGGTGCAGCAGGCTTTACGACAGGGAGGGTGGGATGGCTAATGAATTTCTCCAGGAATCCTGGATTAAACATTCCTAAAGTCTGCAAATTCCTACCCCATGTCACCTTGTCTACGCACGCTTTGGTGAGAATGTCCGCGCCTTGGTAATGCGATGGACATGCTACGAAACGAAAAATCTGTTCATTGTAGACTTCATTGAGCCAACTAATGTCGATTCGCTGAGTACGCGACATATATCGCATGTTTGGGTTGTTCCCAGTGATAATGATGCGGCATGCGGCCTCATTATCTTCCATACAATTCACCGTGACAGGCTTACCGGTGCCTTGACCGATAGCAAACTGCCAAAGCTGTGCAAGTGGCATGCCTTCCTTGGCCACGCCATGATCTAGTGCAACGATCTCCGCTTCGGGAGTCGATTTGGATACCGAAGTTTGCTTCTTGCTAACTGCGGTAATGGGAACATATGTCCTTGGGCCGACTAGGCAAATAAGGACACCAGATGTACTCTTGGAATCGGTACGATCTCCAGCGAGATCGGCATCGCAGTAAGCGACGATTTCAATGTCACTAGGCTTATCGCAGACCCACCCGTATAGGTGTAGGTCTAGCGTGGAGTTGATATAGGAAACAATCCTATGAAGCTTCTTATCGCACAGTCGATTCCACTTAGTGATTCGACTGGCCAAAGCCTGTACAGGTCTAATTAGGTCGTATCGACCCATTCTAGCACCATACAAAATTTTCATGAGAACTGCAGCTGCAGCGTCGCCTAGGACACCGGGCTGTTCAGCAATCACGTCTGTTGGGCAAGGAGACGGCTGCCCAAACAGCTGATCTACTTCCGGGTTGATGGGATTCTCATCAAACTCCGGTTTACTTTCATCCAGAAAAGGCGTCTCAGCCTTCACCAGAGGTCTAGGGTACTTGGGGAGGCATAGCTCCTTGTACCTATCAACGCATGCTTCCATGAAGCACGCTTCGTTATATTTGATGATCTTCACCCGAGCCGGGTCGAATTTGACCTCGTCAGCTCGAAGCCGTTTCTCTCCGAAACGAATGTCAGGCGTCTCCTTGGATGGTGGATGATCCACAGTCCAAGCAGTGCGAGGATCGAAGAAACCCTGTACATCCGCTGCAGCAAACTCATGCTCGCAGCCCAGATACCGCTTTAGGGTACCCGGCGGTTCCATCGTAATTACCCGACTAATGAGGTCCCATCCGATCGATAGGCTAGCGGATGGGCCACTCATCTTGAAGTCATCAACATACACCACAAGAAAAAGCTTATACTTAGGGTGATAAAACACACTCGGCCATTCCGGGACACGGATAAAACCGACCTCAATAAGCCTTGCTTCGCAATGCTTTTCCCAGAACGTGCCGGCATCAGGATGCCCGTATAGGGCAAGAATCAACGGACAGACCGGATCGTCACAGCCTTTAGGAAGACGCACCCATGTCGTGGGACCCAGTAGCTTAGCTTGGGTATAGGCGGATTCGCCATCACTGACTTGTAGTGCGTGACCAGGCAACATGCCATATGCATCACACATCTTGCCTGCGGCCATTGTTGCCGGGCATGAGGTAGCTTCGGAAAACATGGCCCAGTGATTTGCCTGGTCCCTCACAAAGCATCCCTCAAACACTACTCTCCCTTTGTACTTCCTATTAGGATCATCCTCAGGGAGTTCATGATTCTTCTCCACACATATGTCAAAAATTCTTCCTACATGGACTGTCTTGCCATTTGCTCGCGCTTCGGCAGCAACTTTCTTCCACTCTCTAACTCTCAACTCATCCCAACATCCCAACTTTCGGAGCTTTGTCCACTCCTTGAGGAGAGCTGCACGCGCCTTGTCGTTACCAGCTTGCTCCTTCTTCGTCACAGGCCTTGCTACACAGGCGTAAAAAGTTGGTATGCCCTGTAGGTTGGGTTGATGCCCCGAAGCCTTGTTCGATCTG